TTTGAATCCAATCATATATTATTTTCGATGCTCAGAGTTCCGTGCATTTTATAAAAGATTCAAATTCTATTGGAACAACAAAAGAAGGGTGTTTCCGGCACGAGATAATACCAGCATGAAGAAATTGCATTGGAAGTCAAATCATGCGGCATAGCAGGAAAGGCTTTGACTTAGAAAATATTATTTGACTTAAGAGTAAATACGCTTGCTTACTTGAAAGTGATTATAGACGGCAAGACTTGAATTAATCTGTCCTGTCTATTAATCTGTCTAACTAAAGCCTTATTTTATATTAAGTTTATCAAAATGAATACATGGAAGAAATAACATCATGAACGTTTGCGTTTAAAGTTCATCATGTTTTAGATTTTAACAGAGATATTCATTTTGACACCTCTAATATTTTTCCCAATAAATTTCAGTTGGTTTTCTTATTTTTCACAGCAACGTTACACCATTAACTTGCTGCTCATTTGCCGTCATTTTTCTTAATTTTCTTTTAGGCATAAGACATTCCATGTTCACAATCGAATTAAGTTCACTTTTAGTATTTTTCAGCCTAGAATTTAGTAATGGCATTTTTCAAAGTAAATCGAAGGATTTTGCCACTACACATATTTTCATTTAAAAGGACACATTTCTAATTTAAAAGGACATAATTAAAGAGGGTAGAACTAAAAATGTATTCATGAAATTAATGTAAAGTAATATATAATTATTTAATAAATAAGCTGTTTTCATGTGGTGATCTAATTCTTATACTTACATGTCATTGTTTGTGTTTTTGACATTCTATAAGGAAAAAATCTGTCAATTTTTGTCTCCTACAGCTTCAAAAGTATTTCACAATAAAAAACTTGAAGCCATTTTAAATGTTTTATAAAACTACAACTAGATGGTAGTTATGTAAGCTTTATTTAAGTATGAGAGCTAAATTCTCCCAAGCGAACGAAGCTGTAAAATTTAGTAAACAAGAACACTTTAAACGTAGAATTCCAGCGAAGTTACATATAAGTGACATGAAAAGATTAGAAAAATGAGCCATCTTTTTTTAAGTTCATATTTACTCTGTCAGAATTGCACTTCGAGTCAATTTAGACAAAAAATCGTCTTTCATTTTGGGCATGTTCGAAATTGTCTTACGGCAGCATTTCCGTGTGTTTCGATTTCCTGATCTAAACACGAGCGAGCATAAACCAATCAGAGCTCGCGTTTTGCTTGTTGTTTTTTTATAATATTCTTTCTTTCCAATTTTAACGCTGAGGATTTTAGCCGCTCTTGCCCTAAGATGAACTGAGGTCGTTCTTTACACGTCAACTCATCTACTATTGACAGAAATAGAACTTATTCTAGCGTTTTCGCACAAGAATTTTGAAATTTTGAAACGAAATGAGGATAAAAGAGGGAGTTTTTTCGTATTTCAAGAAAACAGTAACCAAAAATTTATTATTCTACCTTATACCGAATTTCTTCCCTCCCCCCCTGGTTCCACTATCCTGGAAACAGCACGCAGACTTTAAACGCTGTTTTATTATTTAAAGTTCAAACAGCAAGTAGCGACTAACAGCTTTTTTGAATTGTTTCTCAATTCTCAATAATCTAAATCAGAAAAGAAGACGGTGCCAGACTGCTCGTTCGCTAATTTTTCCTCAGGAGGACAGAAACTTGCGAGCTCTTAGCTCAATTTAGAAAAATTGGTCTAAAGAAAACGCCACAACATGTCAACAAGCGTCTCCTTTTACTAACGACACAAACTTTTCTTATGCAGGAATTAAGTTCTTCAATTGCAAAGTTCAACAAAATTATGTAGCCGGTAGCCATCAGAGGACCGAATGATCTATAAGGATGAGTGGTAGATTCATACGTGCATATTATAATCTGTAGAAAACAATTGATTTTAAAGGAATTAAATCCAGCTATTTGCGATCTTCCTACGTTCCAAAGATGAGCATTGAACGTTCTTAATATTCACGTCCACTAAACTCCTGACTGAGTTAAATTTCGTTTGTAACTGGAGTGTTATTTGGCACAGTATGACTGAAGCTTGCAAAGTATACTGGGATATATTATCACAGTCTGCTTGAAGTCGAATTTTCGAAGTACATCATAATATTGTGATAACTTGATTTTCTTGGTGATAAATCGTTTGCTTATTATGAAAAACGGCGGCGCTTTTAAGCTGTGCGATGTCAGTGCAGTCGGATTTTGTAGAGCGTTTGTTTGAGCTGGTATTTAAAGGGCTGATCACAGCTGACATGATTGAGTTATCTGAAAGCATTATGCATGTACCGTGATTAGGAACTTTGGACGACAAAAATATCTGTGATTTGAAAAGGAAAGCCAGTGTGCATTTTGAAAATTTAACACGATGTACTGTACAGATGTGATGTCGACGATTCACGAAGACAGCACTGTTATGGGAGACGAACACGTCGACGAAGGTAATTTTGAACAACTTATGGTTAATATGTTAGACGAGCGAGATAAACTGATGGAATCATTGCGTGAAACACAAGAAACGGTTGCTTTAACGAAAGCTAAACTAAATGAGGCGAACAGCGAAAAGGACGGATTAATACGGCGTTTGGAAATCATACTAGCAGAAGTAAGTTGACATCGACTGTTTTATTTTAATGATTGCAAACGATTTAATCAATGTTTATAATAGTTTGATCCCGCATATTTCATTGCACACACTTGAGAATGAAATCGTCCATAGTAAAAGTTTGTGTGTTGTCACAATGAACGGAATGTCTCGAATTCATTTTGTTTTAATTGTTTCATTTGCTTGAACTTTGAAATAATTGCGACTTAGTGGATCATCGTTTGCTAATCAACTTGTTGCTGTCCGTAATGTATTGTAGTGTACAGCATTAAAGCATTCGTTAAACGTGTTGTTAATCAAATCTAAAGAATATTAATGAGTCTATCTTGTCGGCAATCTTTTCACTTTATTCCAGATCTCAACGTACGTATTAAATTTCAGAGGCAGTTGTGTTAAAGGTGTTTAAATCATGTAAATTACGCAGTCTTGTGCTTTTTTTGCAGGCGGACGATCAAACTTTGGAGAGACTAGTCAAATTGGACGGAATCAGCTACAATCCTGACCTCAAAACACGGGAAGGAAAAACCGCCCCGCATGTTAAAGTTTTATCGGAGGTATGGTATTTAAAACACTTCAAGACAATTTAACCCCCGAGCTTTAGGATTTTGACGTGTGCTGAAGTATTTACACAGTGATGTTTATGATGAATTTTTGTCATACTTTCAGTGCGACATCACGGACTTATTGGTATTACAATTTCCTTTAGTTAAACTTTTCCGCTTCCATTCAAATTTGTTTAATCGAATCATTAAAATTTTAACTCGCTTGTTATGATTAAACGGGTCTTTTCCTCGCTTGCGATCAAATTGTGAGACACTTCGAAGAACACGCCACTTCCTTGACGGCATTATTTAAAAAATATTTTGCGATATTTTTGTCAATATTAGTTTATTATGTCCGATAATTGTTTGAAATGTCGTTTTAAGAAACATCTAAACGATATGCTTTGGAAGATGAGGAATCCTACAGCAATCGTAAAATATTTATTTATGAGCTGCAAAACAAAATGTCACACAAACAAAATTACTTTCGCAGCATGGGGTTTTAAGAAGTTGAAAATAAAATAATTCTTAGTTTTACGTAGCTTGATGTCTTTTTGCCAATAATGTGTTCACTGAAGTATGAATATTATTCAAATATCCATTGGAAGTATGTAAAGAATTCAATTGAATAGATATTATTTACATAATTCCTGTGGAAGCAATGCAATATGTGTGGTCAAACATGGAAGTTTGACACACAGCACATCAAATTATAGTACGTTCTCATGTCACTTCTGTAAACTAACAATGGCGATACAGAATAATTGTTATTAATTTTATTGTTTTGGGGATCTTTTTTGTGTCAATTTTAGCTGATTAATCCATGTTTGTTAACTGGTAACTCAAAGTGAAAATCTTTAGCATTCTGCATGAATCAATAAGGAAGTTAATCTTAAGGCATGATCATTAAGTGAAGTGATGACATGCCATCTAAAGCACCAAACAACTGCAACAATATTTTACTTCATGTAGACTTCTCTGCTTTTGATGATGGTACATAAATTGCTGATGCATTTTTGGAGTTTTTGTGCAACCTCACCACAGATTAGTTTCAGGGCAAATGCATATTCAGTTGCTGATGCATTTCGAAATTGCTTTCTTGAATTAATCATAAATATCAAAGAACTTACTGTTTAATTATTTGCTATACAAATGCTCCAGTCCATTCAGTGAGTGTGTCATTTTGCAGGAATTCTGTGCTATGGTGAAAGAATTGAACTATGCAAGAGAGCAGCTTCTTGAAAAAGATGAAGAAATCGTTGAGTTGAAGTCAGAGAGAAATAACATAAAGGTTAGTTACTACCACCCATGAACCACAAGGGGATAAATATAAGAGTCTGATGTATAATTTAAATTAAGCCTTTTTGGTTTAATATTTGCTAATGAATCAATTGTTTTGTCGACATCTTCATATTAAATAAGATGTTCCTTCCTATTTTTGAGACTCCCACTATATGCAGGCAAAGAAGTATGTATCTGTAGCCACATATTTTTGATTTTAATGAAATTTTTGATGATTTGTCAATTCTCTCTTCCTCCTAGCTCTGATAGTTATGGGTTAATGATTGACAAAAGTCTTCTCATAGCTACATATTTAAGCTCAAACCATACTTTACAACCAAAATTTAGGAAGCTACATCCTGTCATTTTTTATCTTAGTTTGGTTCTGTCGCTCAAATCACTTATTTCCTAGGCTGTTATGTAAGATAAAATCTTGTAAAAAGATAATTAGTTTGCTTATGTTTGTTTAATGCCTGATATCATGTTTGTTTTTTCTAATTCTTTCACCCACCTTGAAAGATAAGTAGTATTCTTAATGTCAATGTATTTTTGCATTGATTTTTTCTACAGCTTTTACTTGAGCACCTTGAGTGTTTGGTATCAAGACACGAGAGATCTTTAAGAATGACTGTTGTTAGACGTCAAGCAACTATGTCCGGCGGTGTTTCATCAGAAGTCGAAGTATTAAAGGCATTAAAGTCATTGTTTGAACATCACAAGGCATTAGATGAGAAGGTGAGACATTTACTAAATTACTATTCCCTCTTGTAGCTTGATATGTTTCAGTTAAGCAAGTTGGTATGATGGTATCAAATTAAAAAATTAAAAGTGTTGATACATTAGTCTTTTAGAGTATATACAGTACCATATTATTCTATTAAGCTATTGTTTCCCTGACTTAAAAGACTTAAAAAATAAACATTAACAACTCATGCTCAACGTTTTTCTGACGTGATATGTTTTTCATCATGTGCTTGTTGGAAATGTTCATGAACATCCCATCCCTACCTATTTTCAGGTTAGGGAAAAGTTAAAGTCCGCCGTCGACAGAGCTAATTCTTTTGAAAATGATCTTGAGTTGATGCGGAGCAGGTTGGTGATAAAGTTTGACTTATTTGTGTCAGTTTTATTTTCACTTTTTTAAGGGTGATAGAATTTAAACTTGTTTATTGATTTGTATTAGTAACGGTATAAGATTTTGAGAACTGTTACATGGAAACGATATTATAGTTCCACGGAATTTGCGCTTTTGATTTTACTGAATGTTTTGAGTTTAATGGTTTTTGTTAATAGTCAGGGCTTCAAAACAACAATGAAGTGAACAAGACAAACTACGGGGAAAATATTATTAAAATCGCAGTATTTTAAAATTGTGATAAACCGTTTGCTTTTCACTCCAAATTACATGAAATTTGCGACCAAACCGTACAACTCACTTTGAAGATGTTTTTTTTTTCAACTGAGCGTCTTGTTATGACAAGTTTTCTTGCTATTTACAGGTGAAGCAGCTGAAAGAAGAGAATACTTTCCTTCGCGAAAAAAGTGGTTTGAATATGGAAAAAAATGAAGCACCTCTTATCAATGGCGGATTGCCGTATTCTAACCATGTTAAGCGCGTTACAACAGGAAAGGTAACGTTCATAAAAATTTATTCCACTGAATATAAATTTCCTGAATTTTGCTGGAAAGTTTTTTTACATTCCTCGTAATGTTCCTGAGTTTTTTTTTAGAAAGAGAAACTACATACACCTTTGTTAAATTGTTTGTTTCTTTTTAGTAGGTTAATACGACATAGTCAAAAAAGACTAGCTATAATTCGTAAAAAATCCTGAATCCAAAGTAATTATTTCGTAACATGACTACGCTCACTTCGTTGATAAATGTTTGGCAATGGCGTGCCTTCATGATTGCAAACTGCATTCAGAAACCATTGATGTCAGATTTGGATGAATATCGCTTTAGCTTTTCATGGACATTTTTATTTTTCAATTTCCTTTGATACTTGATACTAAATAGAACTGAGCATAACTCAATAACTCATATAGCATAACTCATATAGTTCAATGAGCATAACTGACCAAAATCAAAGAATAGTCCCCCCCAAATTTCCTAGATTTCCTGCAAATTTTTTTCCACTTTAGATTTTTTCCTTTTTGCAGTAAAATTTCCATTAAATTGAAAAGTTCTTGCGATGTGGAAACACTTAGTAGAATTTACGTAGAATATATCGATTGACGATTGGACCGAACATAGATCGAGGATTTTCTAAATGCTAGCTATACAACGCTCCGTATTGACAGAAAAGGTTATATTTTCGTTATAAAACATTAAATTTTATGCGTGTTTAGCTGCATCGGGGAGCTCAAGATACTTGTGTCTCGGATTATTGTGAGTTTTCGTGACGTCACATGCTTATTTCCAAAATACTTTAAGGCACTAAGACTTACCTGGATTTTTCACCCTCAGTGAAGATTTAATGTATTAGATAAAAAAAAGGAGCTTTAAGTCTTGATGAATTTGTAAACTTAACAAATTCAAACAAATTTCTCGCAATATGCATTTTTCAAAAGTTTAATTGTAGCACGCCATAAAGACAAAAAGTAAAAATTTTTATTTTCAAACAATTTCGTTTTGAAGCTTAGTGAACACTAAGTATGGATAGCGTTAATATGAAATTACAAAAAAATGCACCTACAACCGAAATAACGATTGTTTTCAACAGTGTACGGTATGATTGAAGTGGTGGATCCGGGGCCAGAATTATTTAACCGCTAGTATTCAAAACACTTCCATAAAATTGCCATAAGTTATATATTTTTTAAAAATGTGTTCGTACCTAATCATACTAATCGCTGTATATTGTTGTAGTTTATTTTAACTAACGCTGGATTTGCCACTGTATTGCCCCTGTGTGTTCAGCGTTTTGTAAACTTTCGTACGTACAGCATCCTTTCTTTTTATACGTAGATGTCCAACGGACCCACATCATCTGATGATGATGGCGAAGATTACAATGCTATCAATGAGTTACAATTTAAGTTAGATAAAAAGAATAAAGAATTGGAAAAGGTTTGTTAACCTGGATATAAACATGCACATATTTAAATCGTGCATTGTGCTTTAACTAAAAGTAAATTTAGTTAGTACTCTCCTATCGGTGATGCAATGATGCACGCGCGAAACATTGAATGGCCCCGAACTGACTTGATTACGCTTGCTAGCCGTATATTCAATGACCTAGCTAGAACCCAATCTACTAGATATTTAACTCCGCCGAAATTATATAGTAATGAGTGAGGCAAGCCGCCATCTTGAAAGGTGGCAAAACTGACGATATTTACGACTATTATCTGCTTTTGCTGAGTTGATATAGATTCGCAAAGTTCATAGTCCATGTTTGATTCTTAAAATGTTTGATTAACGCTCTGAAGTTCAAAAGCTTTATGAACAAGAGCAACCCTCAGACTGAACTTTATTTATTAGAGGTTTATTTTCACTAATAAACTTAATGATATAATTTTCAGACATTAAAAGAGAATGTTTACCTGAAGGAACGTATCAATTCAATGGAGAGCAAGATAATATTATTGACCAGTGATCTGGATCGAGCTCAATCAAAATCAGAAAAATTGAAATCGCAGGCTCAAGAGGTATTAACGTATGGTGTTAGTTACGTATGCAAATATTTAAGAGTTGCTTTGTAATGGCTCAATTGCGTAGAATAGTGATAATTTATTGCCATAGAAAGATATTGGACGAGGTTGTCAAGAACTTATATTCTTTGCCTGCTCCGTAAGTAGTGTACTTCATGATCAAAGTTTTACGTACGTATTTTGTACTATAGATTATAGCTCAGAAATCCGATCTCGAAGATAGAGTATCCATATTGGAGAAAAAATATCAACAAGTTCAAAGGGATTTAGTATCAGCAAAAGATGACAATGAACGTCTCGAGAATGAATTAAATAAGAAGGAATCAAGCGTGTTACAGGTGTGTATGATGTTATTCGTAGATAACAATGATCTATCGTGTATCACAATGATCCTATTGATATAGTATTATTCTCTTCTATACCACAAAGATCCTTTTGTACCCTTTTCGTAGTACGTAAGAATGTTAGAGTTAAGCTAAGCTATTTATGCACGAAATTAATCATAGTTTTTGGAAATTTAATTACGTAGAGAGAGAAAATGTGAATTTCGTCAAATATTTAACTGTTGCTGGAATGAATGAATCAGAAATCAAATTCACTAATGATGTCGCATTTTTATAAGCATTCTAAATACAGTATTTTACTCGATCGTAACATTCGTCTCATGTTGAAAAGTGATCATGAAATAATTGCCTCGAGCTGGCTAAAACACCGATCGAAAAGACTCGCAGTGACTCATTTGAAGTGTCAAGTGTCAGAAATATGCCCAGATGAGATTTAATGGGCTTTTTTTTATTTCGTCAGAACCTTTTTTTATTCAAACTCGTACACGATCGTCTGTAGAAATATGGATGACATTTTCAATTTAGTCTCTGCAACTGTTTTACTGTCCTTGTGTAAGGTTGTAAGCTTGCTGCGGCAGACCGTTTGTTCTCATCATTCGAATTATTGTTTTAGGCAGAAGAAAAATATCGTAATATGCAAGAGAAATTTGAGCTTGCTGAACAAAAACTACAGCAGTCTTTGAGGAAGGCGGAAGCATTGCCTGTTGTTGAGGAAGAATTAGCGGTGCGTGTGGCTGCACTAAGCCAGGTATGTATTTAGAGCTTTCTGAGTGATGGTGTCCACTGTATAATTCAGTGTGAAAGGATTCTAATGAAATCGAAATGATGCCATTTTGGTTGGAACGTCAGTTGAAGACAAAGGAAGGCTGATATAGGTTCCTTCATTGTTGGTTTTGAAATGGAGTTCCTTGATTTTTATTGTTGAAAATTTTTGTCCGTGAAATTATCTAAGTATTCGTGGTGGAAATTATTGTAAACTCTACTTTTTCATATTGTTCAATGTCAAGAGCGTAATGGCGAGATTATGTTCATACATGAATGAACAGAGCTATTTAGTTGTTATTTATGCAATGACGGGAAAACGATACCTGTTTTTACTCTGACTTTACATATCGACCGTGTATGTTTTTTGTTTGTGTGTAGAAAAACGATAGTTTATGTTGTCTATGTTGACTATTCTTGTTTTTAGGCTGAAGAAAAGAGTTCTTCTGCGACCGAGAGAATAACGAACTTGCACCAGCAGATTGAAGACATCCAAGCAGAATTAAACAGGGTAAACGATGGACTATTTTAAAGCAAACGAATTACCTCTGCCTATCTTACGTATTTGCAAAGTAATTTGTTTAGCTGTTGGCAGCCTGTTGTTCCTTTCGTGTTGAAGTGCGTTTATCAGAGTCAGGAAAATAACATCTTAAGATAATTATGTTGATTTTAAGAACGTTTGCAATTTATTTGTACGTACGTAGATCAAATTTTTATCTTCGCAGGCATTTTAGGCCTATAAGTAGGTGATTTCGCACCGGAAGTGACGTAAAAAGGAGAAAACGCAGCTTTACTTTTTGAACGCTTTACGTATTTGATTATTCGCTCAAATGATGTAGTCAAACCATACATCTATTTGCTAAAACAGCTTTGTTTAGTATAATGAAAGCCGTATCTTCAATGCATGTGTTGTCTTTTTTACGTCACACCCGGCGTGGAATCATTAACTTCTGGGCCACAAAAACCCGTTGCGATAAAATTTTCGTCTTATGAAATGTATTACAAACGTTCTTAAATTGATTTAACTCTCAGAAATTATTTCCATGATTCTGATACCAGTTTCTTTTCACTTCATGAATGAGCTTTCGAGCCTTCAACATGCTCATCCGTTCAAATGAAGAATTTCATAAATATTTCAGATTTCTTATATCTTCCAATGAAAGTGAATAAAAAAGAAAGACAATCCTAATCGTTTGATATTGTATATGAACACGGTACTCTATTTGCTTTTAAATTGTTGGTGTTTTTTTTTCATTTATAGTCAAAACAACGCGAGAAAATGAACGAGGAGCATTCGCATCGCTTGTCAACAACCGTGGATAAATTACTCGCCGAGTCGAATGAGAGACTTCAACAGCATTTAAAAGATAGAATGGCCGCCTTGGAGGAAAAGGTCTGCATGATTATTGACGATATGAATGGTTTTACTTTAGTTATCGATGTCATCGGCTCGTTAACAAGATCTATTTTGAATTTCCTCTGTTGCAGACTTATCTTTCGCAGGAACTTGAATCGAGTAAATTAGAGGTTGAAGATTTGCGAAGAGAAAAGGTAAGTTTTGTAATTGATATTTTAAGTATTTTATCGCGGATAATACGTGTATCGCTCGCTTGAAGTAAGAATGCTAATTTCATAACATGTCTTTTACGTTGCTATTTAATTGCTCTACAAATGCATAAAATCGCATTTACGAAATTTCAGTGTTTAAAACTTCACTGGGAAAAGGGTATTTTCGGATACTCTGCCTCACGACTCACGTTTCACGGGACCTTTTGAGGTCTCCTACTGTGAAATCTTATAATGGTCTCCTAGTGTGAAATCTTTAAAACATCCCTTGTTTCTATACGTAATATAAATCCTAACACGGTTTTAATATGCACATGAAAAACATGTGACTTGGACGAGATTTGAACTCGCACCTTCGGGATACTAGTCCGCCGCTCTACCTGTTGAGCTACCAAGTCCACAGGGACTGGAGACGAGTCAAATATCTTTAAAACATGCCTTGTTTCTACGTATAGGAGTTCCTGGAAGTGAAGGTGGAAAATTTGACAGCTCAAATTGAAAGATCCGAGATAAAGGTAATTCATTTGATTGAAGAAAAAACGTATACGTATCATTTATATTCTTTAAAATACTTTTAGACTGATTGGTACGTAGACTTTTTTAACTCTATCCTTCTCTTTTAGTCCAATACTGGTTCTTCGAAAAGGTTAGTTTTACGGAAATGTTCATTTGATTTGGATCCGTTTGCTTTGATTACAGCAAGATGCGCCAAGAGGAATATCTAGCATTCTTCTTTAATAATCTCTCACTCATAATATATATATTTTGACTAATATTTGCGACGAAAACATACATTACGTATTAAAGACCTCCTACTGCAGAATTAATGAGGGTAAAGTCGGAGATTAAAAATCAATTTGCTCAGTGTTTGGCAATCAGTGGTCACATTTTTTTGCATGTGTATACTGTAGCATGTGCTTTTACCCTATAAGGTATAAAAATTCGTCCAAAAATTCTTAGTCGTCTTGAGACATTTCGAACGCGTTGATAACTATCATCTGAATACATTTTGCTTTCTCCTTGCTCATGGCTCATAAATCAATTTTAAAAATTTAAAAACCCGGTCACGACATCGTAAAAAGTTAGCTGCAGCCAATGAGATTGCTGGAAATGAAAAATATCAGCTGGCGTGCATAAATAAAAAAAATAAATTTATTTATATTCAGTACGTCCTTGGATGATCCTAATCCGATCTCAATTCGTGAGAAGAAAGGTCGTGAAACAATCCAAGATCAAGATCGCGTACTCACGATCAACGAAAAAGATTGGCATAAATTGCAGCAGGCGACCGTACTGGAAAGTGTATCGAAGGCTTTTGATGACGATTCCGTTTTGGTAAATGGTGATGAAGCCGACGGTGTTGCTAAAGATGAGGACAGCGGTCGTGCTGAAGAATTTAGACAATCAAAACTTAGCGATGGCGCCGAGGAGCTAGCAGTCATGATACAAGAACAAATTGAATCGATCAATCGAGAACTGAAGTATACATATAATTCGCAAATATTACGTACTTTTATTGATATTCATTACTTTTATGACGCAACTCTTTGTTTATAAAAACTTTGCTATTTTAACAGCATGCTGAAGGAAGACCCAGAAATGGACGACGAAGCTCTGCTTGCTGAGCTTGAACGAAATTTGAAAAGTGAATATGGTTCAGAAACTCAAAGTGTTGATTCATTTGATGCTAAAACATTAAGATCATCAACCGGGAGTTCGCCTGGTACCCAGTCCCCTGAAAGTTCCTTATCAAAACACAGTAAACGTAATTCAATAGAAGATATGTATTCCATCAACAAGGTAAATTTTATGAAAGTATAACTTAGAGACTTGGTCACTGATCTTTAAATGAGACTGGATAAAGCATCTAGCGCCAAAGTATTATACTTTGACTCATCTTCCTCTTTTTTTTTGTGACGTATTTTAGGATAATTTCATATCTTCTCCATCGATGTTCCCATTTCCTCAGTATGATCCCATGGATACTACACCATTGAGGGTGAGCTACGTATCTAGGGTACTTATTGGGATTATAAATACGTAACTTACTGTATTTACGTCTGTGTGAAACGAAAGAACCACTTACAAATGATGTTTTAAAAACCATGACCAGCCGACAATTTAAAGAAGTATAATATAAAACAATATTGGAACATTTTGAAGAAGTATAATATAAAACAAATTTCGGAATTTGTTTTATATTATAAATGATGTCTTGTCTGCCATGTAAACTTTATATAACTTCAATATTGTGATGAAGAGCGGAAGTGTAAACGAGTCATACATAGTGTGAATTTTTCGGGGTGGTGTGTAATTTATGTTCCACTAAACCCTCCCCCCTGACATCTATTGTTACACATTCTTAATTAATTGATCCCAGATAATTAAGCACAGCACTACTTAGACTTACATGAAGTAGTCTGCTAACTGCTGTGTGAGTATTGAGGTCACTCCTGATTTAAAGTAAGACAAAAATCCCAATGTGAAAATTAGCATTTAAGAGTTACCTGTGTTTCTCCTACTACCCAGAAAAATTAATTGTTGTTAATTGCCGCGTAAAGAAGTTTAGGATAGTCCAGTAGCACTAATAATAACTTTACCTACCCACAAGAGTGGAAGGGGGCAATAAACGGTTTTTTCCTTCTAATCATAAACATTTTAAAAAGTGTTCGGAAGCCTTATTTAAAGTTGTAAATGTTTTTTTTTATTTTCTGTTTCAGCTCAGCAGAGAAAATTTATCAACTCTTTCCGAATCCGTGTCTTCGGATTCCGATCCTTTAGCTCGTGGTCCAATCGCGGATAATCTTTCGGATTTGTCATCATCTGGTCTCAACAGCCCCGAGACTCCACCCGTCAAAAAACGGTATGTGAAAACTTAAACATTCGGTGTTGTTGATGATTTATATTTTCGTCAATGCAGACTTCCTAAATTTTATCCCCAACTATCTCTTTGTTGAAAAATACTATGTATCGTTTTCATTTGCATTTCTCCTTTTAAACATTTATCTTCAAATACTATTGACCAGCAATTGACCTTCTTCATGCAAGACTTTTTCAAACGACTAGCTACGTTTTTGCATTTTTAAAAACCCATTTTGGCTTTAAACCATCACGCGAGAAAGATTATTTAAAGTGAATGAATTGTCGCCTTTTGCGCGGCTGTTTCTTCCTAAGAATGATTGTACCAACTAATGATGTACAACTCGTGGTTCAAAGTGGCATGCCAGTTTGCACATGCCGCTCAAAATATAAACAATATAGCCAGGCATATAATGCGTGAATACATTACGTATCTAAGCAAATGCGCGAAGCATAATATGCTTGTGATAAAGGCGAAGCGTTAGCATCAACAATTAATAGACTCCGTCGATTTCGACGTATGAGGGTTCCGCGAAGTGGAACATCCTGGCTACTATTATAGTGAAGGCAGCTGACCAGACTACAATCACTCGTACCCACGCAACCACAACGCTGATATCAGCGTGACACAGTGTGACAAGGCTGCAACATTGCAGATGCAGGTACAGTCCATCCGAGGACATACTTTCCTCTACCAAATTTCCCTCACATGGCTTTGGTTTATAGACACATTGCCAAATGTGCCACGAGCTGGGATTGAACCCGCGCCGTCTGGCTTACAGCTCACGCCATTAACCATTCAGCCACTCTTTAAAACAATTAGTAAAAAACAATTAGTAAAAAACAATTAGTAAAAAACACATCAACAATTAGTAAAAAACACACATACCTATATACATACGTATTCTATATGGGGCTGTTTTACGCATTTATATTCTAGGCTTTAATGTTTACATTTCGATTATATTCTCGCTTGGTTCATCGACCGCAACTGCAGTAGTTTTAAAATGAGTAAATTTTTCGTTTCTTTTAGTCATCCCGATTTATCTTCGCCAGTCTTAAATAGGACCCCTGTCCTAAATAGTTCTAACGGCTCCAGTTCCGCTAACAATGCAATAAGAAAGCGAGGTCTGCGTGGCTCTTTTAACAAGATATTCGGTTCAAAGACGCGGACCAAGCTTCGCGACAGTACTGCAAGTAGTCGATCCGACAGCAATGCATCAACACTTGACTCCTACTCCTCGAATATGGGAAAAAGCGAACTCGACCGAAGAATTAAACGTGGGTCAATGCTCCTAGGAGATGCACTGACTGCTAAAACGCCTTTCGCTATGTGGAATGCGCATACAGTTGTTGCCTGGCTTGAGGTGTGTAACCAAGTGCTTTGTTTCATGTTGTGTTTTATAATTCATTATTACAATTGAATCCACCTTTCCGACGGTAAACACACGTGTCAAAAATGCGAGATCAAATTACAAAATTTGGACAATCAAATGGTCGGACATAGTATTGTACGTATATGTAAAATAGTGGCAATGAAATAGAAAGAAGATGCTCTTGGGGCATTGGTAAATCTTATTTTAGAAATCCAGAACGACTAATTATAAAGGCAGAAGGTGTAAGAGTGAATAAAAACCATTTTCCGTCAAATCAAAGGAAATGCAATATACAGATGCAAAGTTATAGAGAAAAATAAAAACATTTCTAACGTTGTCGTGGATATTACAAGTGCCGTAACAAAATGATGATGAGTTTGATATGCATTTGTCACAATAAGCTTAAGAAGACAAAGAGCATGTCAAAAACATATGATTGAAAATTTGCTAAGTGCATATACAAGCACCAATTTCAGAGCTCGCTCTGTCACAAATTAATTGAGAATCTGAGCATGCGTTTTCAACTCCACAAACTTTCCAAGCTCATGGTAACGACCAACTGGATGTACCGATTTTGGAGTAATTAGCTCGCTCAGTCACAAGTTTTAAGACAAATCATCTGCGCATGCGCAGTATTATTGAGCATGCGCAGTCAACTTGACCAGGTACCCAAGTTTATGGTCATGGCAACGACCAACTGCATCTACTAGCACCAATTTTGAAGTTAATAACATGCTTAATAACAATTTAATAGAGAAATCGTCTGCGCATGCGCTCGAGCATGCGCAGTCCACTCGAGTAATTGTTCGTAGTCATGACAACGACCAACTATATGTACTTGCACTACATTTGTGTCAATTAACTCACTTAGTCGCAAATTATTAAAGAAATCATCTGGGCATGCGCAGTAACGATAATAATTATCCCACAACTTTCGTACGCCTTTAAATTTTGGTATATATATATAAAGCTAAAACTTCATGTAGTAGATGTCAACTAGCAGTGGAAGCTGGGTGCGATATAGTATGCAGTGGCTTAGGGGCCCACACTTCGGTGGCGACCGTACTCTCCCTGCGTACCCCGAGCAAAGCCTATCGCAGGTGATCTCGGGGTCTGATGGGCGGAAGCTTGCTATTGCATCTCCCAAGTAGGATAGCGTGGAGGGGCCGAAATCTCCTACCGAAACGTTAACATGCGGCGTTCTAGTGCCTTGCGCTTAAGAAGGTATCGGGAAGCATGGCCCGAAAACGGGGTTTTTTGTTTTCGAATTTTATCTTTTTGTTCTTATAAAATAAACCAAGTAATGTGTCAATTAACTCCTCACACTTATAATTTAAGACACCCTTAAATATATTTTATACAATTTTTATTGATTTATGTTTTATCTTATTTATCTTATTTACTTATCTATACTCTCTCATTTACTGTTTTTTATGTATCACGAGCAAACCATCCATAGGGTTCATGGCAAACAAGGATTATCTGGTTGCCTTGATTAACATGCGACGCTCTAGTGCTTAACTATCTCGGGGTATTTGGAGAGGCATGGACCAACAACGGGATTTTTTTGTTTTCAAAATTTCTCTTTTTTTCCAAGAAATGTTCTCATGAATGAAACTAGAACATCCAACAACACTGCAAATGTTCAAAAACCTTTTTTGACTTCATTTGACTTCATTTTGATTTAAAGGGCGTCTTTTGATCACATAGAAACAGCCGTTCAATTTATTACTTAAATGCGTGTAGTATGTATTTCATTCTACGAAACCGTCAAATCACCCTATACCAAAGAATATCCAGATCCTATTTTATTTGCATCCAGCAAAGAAAATTGCTAGGCATAGAATTTGTTAACTGTTGTTTAAAGGTATTTAAAGATTCCAGATGAGATTCATGACTGCCTTTGAATACAATTAGCACATATTCATTATATGACAATGTTTTATGTTATAGTTTAGAGTCATCGTAATTTTATACAGTTAAATTTATAGCAATACTTTAAAATTCCATTTTTACGTATAAGTATCTGAAAAGCCAGTTTTACTTTATCGATAATAATAATAGTGATTAGTGATTATAAGACAGTGAAACCAACATGTAATAAAAATAACAGTTCAAAAATGCAGTAAAGACCCGTAACAATCTTTACAAAAAAGTCATTAGCGCGACAACATGCCAGTATTCAAGCTTTCCTCCGATCTTTATGCTTTATTTTAACTCAAAATGGTTAATATTTACTGTTATGCCTTCTGCCTTTATGAATAATCGTTCTGAATAACTAGAATCAGATTCACAAATACCCCAAAACTATCTCCTCACCATTTTATTTCCATTATTCTACATAAACAATACTATGTTCGTTGATTGGATTAGTTAAATAACACACCTCCCCCCCAGTGGTCCTCGTTATCATGGCTGCCATCAAGTTCGCAATCTATGCGTGTGGCCATCGTATCCATGGTAACTAGGAGCTCCTGCAACTTATCCATAACTGAGTATTTTATTTTGTATAGCTGTGGGTAGGAATGCCTGCTTGGTATGTTGCTGCTTGTCGTGCAAACGTTAAAAGTGGAGCTATTATGTCGGTAAGCACTTGAAATTATGATGATGTTGTTGTTGTTGACGTGTCGTGTACAATATGATGATGTTGTTGTTGTTGTTGACGTGTCGTGTACAATATGATGATGTTGTTGTTGTTGTTGTCGTGTCGTGTACAATGTGATGATGATGTTGTTGTTGTTGACGTGTCGTACAATATGATGATGTTGTTGTTGTTGTTGACGTGTCGTGTACAATATGATGTTGTTGTTGTTGTTGTTGACGTGTCACGTACAATATGATGTTGTTGTTGCTGTTGTTGACGTGTCGTGTACAATATGTTGTTGTTGTTGTTGTTGTTGACGTGTCGCGTACAATATGATGATGATGTTGTTGTTGTTGACGTGTCGTGTACAATATGATGACTTTATTTGAAAAAAATGTTACGTTATATGTCACACATTCTACTGAATGCCATAAGAATTTTTTATGCAGTAGAATTTCATTTGCAGTAGATTATCCTTTTCACAAATGAGACTGCTGTAATCGATAATCGATGATCACTTTGTTGGTTTATGTATAACTTTCTCAGCTCATTCCCCTGTTGCATTAAAGATTTCCCAGAACGTTTCCAGTAAATAGCTATGGAATGTCAAATTCGAAGACGGAATAGTTCCACCAGTTTCGATTTTTGTTATTAAAAATACCAGGCTCGCTATCTATCTTTATTATCACTAATTACTGTTCACTTATGTAGGTTGTGAAAATCAGACAACGAGATTCTGCATTGTTAAAGTCGTTTTATTTTTGCAGGCGTTATCCGATACAGAAATTCAACACGAAATTGGAATCAATAATCCTTTACACCGACTGAAGTTGCGACTTGCAATTCAGGAAATAGTCGCTTTAACCAGTCCATCACAGCCTATGACAAGCAAAGAGGTATTTAATGTACATCATTTATTACTCTTGCTATCCGAGGTACGTAAGCCCGAGTTTAAAAGCCCTGTATTGTCGCAAGATTTTACACGAATTACGTGTGTCTAACACGAAATCCTTGAACCAATCAAAATCGTTCATCAAGTATCACCTTGTAGAAACCTTGAGCTTGTAATATAATTGTTAATTAGATTGAGAGCATAGTAGCCAACCAACTTAAAGCATTTGCAATACGTAAAATAATTTGTTCCTATAGATGTTCAAGGTAGTTATTTGTGTTGTGTTATAGCTTTTAGTACGCGGCGAAATGAATCATGAATGGGTTGCAAATTGTTGGCTTCCAAGCATTGGCTTGCCACAATATAAGGTAATTATTGATAATGTAAAACAACTATAAATGGAAATATGTAATTTACGTTTATGATTTCCATTTATGTATTGTTATGTTACGACAATCAAGTGCAGTAGTACTGCTTCATGTATTCCCTTGAGTAACGAATAATAACATGTGTTTTTGTGTTTTATCTAGAGTACTTTCCACGAATGTTTAGTAGATGCACGAATGTTAGAGCACATTTCCAAGAAGGAATACCAGAAATATTTAAAAGTTGTTGATAGTTTCCACAGGTGAGACTTTAAAACTTGTAACTTCTAATTGATAAAATCATAAACCTTGTTTTCTATTTGTTGCGTGTGGTCTCAAGGTAGATAGGGAGAAAATTCCGGTGTTTGCGGGTCTAGGAATGCAGGTGTATGGCCTCTAGCAAGACTTCGAAACAATTTTGCATTTGGTTTTACATGAATATTTACATTTTACCATTTCAATCCATTGATGTAGCCTTCTTCTCCTAAGGTGTTAGTACATGTCCTAAGGTGTTAGTACATGTCCTAAGGTGTTAATAGATGCTCTGAATTGTTAGTACATGTTCTGAAGTGTTAATACATGTCCTGAGGTGTTAGTACATGTAACTTGTGTTTTCTAGACGCAGTATACAATGTGGTATCAAATGTTTGGCTAGTGTTAAGTTTGATAGAAGGGTAAGTTTTGTTCGTTTTAGTTATTGTTTACCTTTCTCTTAAAGTTGTTTTTTTATTTTAAACTTTATAATATAAGCTTCTAGACAAACGACGACAGGACTGTCTAACGGAAAACAAAGGTATTTTATTTTTCACAATCGTCATATTTACTACGTCATCTCTGTGTTTATTGTTTGACAGTTAGCGAATATTATTAGATATTTTATAGTCATACTTATTGAATTGTCACTTTTGCATTTCAATCACTGTACATTGTACATTGATAACTTTGAGATTGTCCATTAACAATGGCGATGACTTGCCATGAATTATAGTCAGTTCTGTAAAAGTCTGCGATGGTTGTGATGTTTTCAGTTTCGACTGGGCTATATTTAGTTAGCTGAGGAGTTTCTTTCTCTTAGCTAAATTATGAATTATAAAAACGATGTCTACCTTTGTCTACGTATTTCAATATGTGCAAGAACTGAAGTGCTTAAGTACCTATCCAGCGATATTGTATACATCGCTTGTATTAATTGTTTAGATAATTAATTCTGGCATTCTTGCAGATGTTATTGTTTGGAGTAATAGTCGTGTTATCAAATGGCTTACTTCAGTGGGTTTGGCAGAATATACTGATAACATAAAGTACAGTGGAATCCATGGCTCAATATTTGTATTCGACCCAGACTTTAATCATTCTACGCTGGCAATGTGTTTACAAGTTCCATCTTCAAACAGCCAGGTTTAAAAACTTTTTATTTCACATGTTTGTCGGTTAGGAATGTTTCCATTCTTCAATTGATAATTGCTGTTTACACGGGTCTATGGAGACCTTTGTGAGAATTCGGGAGCAGATCAGTGCAAGCGTGAGATCGAAGGACTAGTGTTGCACCTGCTTGAGAGTTCTCACTAAAAAACATCTTTTATTTCTTTTATAAAGTTACGATATGGAGAAACACATGATTTCAAAACAAGCGTTTTAATTTGCCTTTTAAAATGTATTCATGATTGATTGGCAAATTCTCATTGATTGATTGATTGATTTAATTGGTTGAGCTCAGACAGGTTTGCTCAGGCTAATGCAAACATAGCTTTTAATCAATCAGCGCGCGCGTTTTATTGTTTTTATTTTATGGTATACATAACACTTGTTTATGCAAATAAATTTAAGGTAACAAACTATGCAAGGCTTGTACTTAACTGTAGCATACAATCATACCGAACCATTTGCTTTATTCCTTTCAATCACTGTCGTTGACATAGCTAGTTTCCGTGCTTATGAGGCAGAAATATTGCAAAGCAATATGGCAATTGGTTTGGTATGATTGTATATTATACGTACGTAGTTAGGTACACGCCTTCTAAAGTTAGATACTCTAAATTTATATAATTATTTAACCGAGCTAGTATAATGTAATTCTAAATTTGTACATGTATTAGCATAAATTAACAATTACGACAACAACGTTGGGAAACTGGATATTTTTCTTAGGCTAACGAAGATTACACAAATCACGCGTGACTGATATGAAGTTCTTGAAACATGAGTTTAAAAGTTGAGTGTGCCGTTTTTTTCGTGTTTTCTAGGTTTGTCAGTTGGTTGAGAGAGAATTTACAAATCTAATGAATACAGGGACTTCTGGTTCTACTTTCGTTGATGTTGGGTCAGAGGTGAGTGAATTTTTTCATTATCAAGATTTCAAATAATAGAGCTTCAATTGTTATTCTTTTCATTCCTTCACTTTTGATGTTCCTTCCAATCTTTGTACCTTTGTCCAGTGTGTGATTATTCCACACTTCAATTTTAGATTACTACGTTGTAATGTCCGTCTCATACCATGTACTTGCGTCTAGGCGTAGTTACCACATGTATTGATGTAGTTCACTAGAAATGTTCATCCCATTCCCTGTATCTGCATCAAGGCGTCGCCACCATATACATCTATGGTTAACTAGAAATGCTCTTTCATTCCATGTACCTGCATCAAGGCGTGGCTACCCCATACATTTACTTCAGTTTACCAGAAAGATTCCTCTCATTCCATGCATCTGCATCAAGGCGTGGCTATCCCAAACATTGACTTTAGTTCACTAGAAATGTTCTTCTCATTCCATCTGTCTTCATCAAGGCGTGGCTACCCCATACATTTACTTCAGTTTACCAGAAGTGTGCCTCTTATTCCATGTGCCTACATCAAAGCGTGGCTATCCCAAACATTGACTTTAGTTCACTAGAAATGTTCCTCTCATTCCCTTTACCTACGTCAAAGTATGGTTGCCCCATACAATAATATCAGTTTACTATCAATAACTTTAATTCACTTGCAATGTTCGTCTCAACCATCAACCAACGTAATGTAAGGCGTGGTTGCGTTATACATGGATTTTAGTTGATGTTTCTCTCATTCCCTGTACCTACGTAAAGGAGTGGTTGCCTTATACATGGATTTTAGTTGATGTTTCTCTCATTCCCTATACCTACGTAAAGGCGTGGTTGCCTTATACACGGATTTTAGTTGATGTTTCTCTCATTCCCTGTACCTACGTAAAGGCGTGGTTGCCTTATACATGGATTTTAGTTGATGTTTCTCTCATTCCCTATACCTACGTAAAGGCGTGGTTGCCTTATACACGGATTTTAGTTGATGTTTCTCTCATTCCCTGTACCTGCGTAAAGGCGTGGTTGCCATATGCATCGATTTATTTCTCTTGCACTGTTAACTTGTTAACTTGTCATCGTTCTTGCAGTTGAGTGAGAGTAACAAATTTAAACGGTCTCAGTCGTGGCGAAAGATATTAAAAAAGAAAGATAAAAAGACAGAAAATAAAAGAGCGAAGGAAGATGGAAAGTTGGATGAGACTAATTCTGGATCAGATTCATCAATCAGTCAGACAAGCTCGACATCATCGGCTAGTCTTAGTGCGAAACAACGAACGCCAGGCAAAGGTTTGTTTTAACGTTTGTTTTAACTTTTTCCATGATTTGTATCAATGTGTGTATTTCCAAGTCTCGTATATTAAATGTCAATACTGTAAATTATCGGAAAATTGACTAATACACGTACGTAGTATAGTCTAATTCATCTAACGTTTACTACATAACACAGTTGTGCTCTGGAGTCACATGATTTAAGAGATGGTTTATTATGCTGTATTTATCGTATTTATCATCCATCACCACAACTGGTGCTGCACATTTAGTTTGCCCAGTTTTCAAGTTTTGACCTGTTCCTTCACAGAAGGAACATCTTTGTATTTCTAACCACAAACATCTCATTTTTTTAAGTTTGTGTGTCTACACTAGTAAACTCGTAGGAATATTATTATTGAATAGTTTTTAGCGCTATCTGCTCTCCGTTTCTAATTGAGATTTTTTGAGTATGGAGAAAAGCTTGATGTTTTAGCTTATAGTGTATAAATGCATCTTTTTTTCAGATACTGAATCTAGTGTACGGTGAAATGTTTCATGCATATTTTGTGCTATGGTTAGTAAATTGCTTTTTAATTAGTACAATTATAAGTTCACCATGTATTGCTGTCTATTCAAAAAAACATTTCGATTCTCTTACAGACGTATTTTTTGACTCGTTTGCTCAGCTATTGACCTGTTCATGAGCAAATAAATCAAAATCTGTAGGAAATTAATCAAGCAAAACAGTCGAGTCAAATAAAAATAGTGTTTCATGTAATCTCCTAAACATGAAGACGACGTCTTGCATGAAAATGTACCGAGTCAGACACTGGACACTAGTAAAGCCCCAACTAGCGCATGCTCTCTTTTCGCACATACACTCCAGATCTCATATTCACTAGCTGTATCGAGAGATTCAAATGCTAAAACGTTGATTGGTTAAGAAACCACAACAACTATGATAGCTCTGTGCTTCATCGATAGTAGATGTAATACATTGTCGTGGATATTGAATGATTCCTTGTGAGCTGGACACTGGACACTAGTAAAGCCCCAACTAGCGCATGCTCTCTTTTCGCACATACACTCCAGATCTCATATTCACTAGCTGTATCGAGAGATTCAAATGCTAAAACGTTGATTGGTTAAGAAACCACAACAACTATGATAGCTCAGTGCTTCATCGATAGTAGATGTAATATATTGTCGTGGATATTGAATGATTCCTTGTGAGCAGCAAACTAAAAATACGTGTGGTCCATATTTGAAGTAAATTGTTCTCGTATAATCCTTTGCTTTCTGTCACCTTTTTCAAAATGGATTGCAAGTTTGCAACATAGCATTTTTGACATCGTTGCTCTTTCTTTTTAGAGCAGTTGAACGCTTCATAGTCGCGCAGGATACACAATCTCATCTACCGTAGTCATAAGATGGGCTATTCTGACTAAGAAATCGTAATTTTAATACATATCGTTGTGTTTGTATTCTCATTGCTGATTTTGACGTGCAACAAACGTTAGTTGGGTTTTAATTCAATAATTGAACAGAAAATACCGCTGGCCGTTCGGTGGTTTTTATCATTTTGCGTTGTATATGGCTCACTGTTCATCATTATGCTTAAAAGCACGCAAAATATAGACAGGATATCAAAATATTCTGTGAAACAGATAAGGGAGTTTTATACTGTATTTTGAAATCCGCATAATGGATGATGCATTCATAAACTTGTAATTTTAATTGTAATCAAATAACTCTCTTCACATAAAGCATCACACTTCTATTGAATGAATTTGACTAAGCACTGTAAAGAACTGTTCCCGTTTGTAAAGTCTTTCTCTGTTTTCTGAGTCGAACAATTCGTGGAGAGCTCGTCAACTATAGAATATTGTATTTGGTTTATGTGAAGGAGAAAGGTAATTTTTTGTCAACGATTAATTTTGAATGCAGCATTCAATTTTAATGAATTTACATCGATAAATGTCGATAAGATTTAATGTTTTAACAAAATTGCTATTTTATATATACGGAATTATTAAAACACAAAGAATATTATACACTTGTAAACAACTCTGTAAAAATATTGCTTTTGTAATGTAAGTATGAATAAAATAAATTGGGTTGTGGTTCCTGTTGAGTTAATTTTACAGACAGTTCTTGTACATCGTAGTTAAAGTATAGTTTTCTTTTGTTGAAAGAAAGTAGTTTCGGAAACTTCTTTGTTAGCTATGTAATCTTGTTGTTGTTTCTACAGCTTCGCTTGTGTCACACGTTAGCTTGTTCACTAATTTTGTTGATGTTATCACAGAAAAGGTCTTTCTTGTCGCTTCTAAAGTCGTTGCTCGTGAAACTTTTTATGACAGATCGTCGTCGCCAGTTGCATGCATCATGTCATGTCAGTCCCGTGACATTTTATGTCGTAGGGGTGTCATAACAGAGACTGCAGTCAGGGTTCTCCATTGCCTTCGGTCTTCTGTCATTCTCAGCAATTTGCTTAGTGTGTGTCCAGTCCACTCTTTAACATTGTCAAACCAGGTTTTTCGTCGACGGCCTCTTCTACGTCCTCCTTCACGGTTCCCTGGAGTATGGTCTTAGCCAGGGAATTGTGGCGATTAACATGGCCAAACCATGCAAGTTTCCGTTGCTTTACAATGGCTAGGAGCTGTTGTTGTTTGCCTGCAGCATCATCAATTTGTTGCCTGACATACTGGTTGGTCTTGTGCTCTGAGTAATGGATGCCTAGTAGTTTTGCATGCGGCTTTTTGCGAACTGTACATTATTGCTCTTTTGGTAAAATTAAACTAAATGAAAAGTATATAAGTAATATAACTAGAGTAAAATAGCTTCATACGACGAGCTAGCAATGCAGGGAATTTTTAGGGAAGTTAAACTAATGGGTGTAATCTAAATACTGTCCGTTATACAGTTGGCTATATTTTATGAAACATGTTTCAAAAAATGCAAGTTACCAAATCGGTATGTTACAATTAATAAAAAAAACAATCCTTCACTGTGACAATAAAGGTCATTCTATCAGGTAATCAAACTTAATCACTATTTTAGCTGGTTTAGTAAAAACCCCAGTAGTTTTCTATAGTTAAAAAATTCTCTGAGGAAATGCAACTTACTAGAACTTACTTAGTAGAGAAAAACGAAGCCAAGTTAAGAAATATCTTTCTTCCATTTATCGCGAGAATAAACAAAAGCAATTCGTCCGACTGTTGGCACAAGAAGACGTCTTTCAAAAAATCAAATACTAATTCAAACAATTAAACGAGAATAAACAAAGCGTGTTGCAAAAAGTCACTTAAAAGACAATTGAGTGACTTACTGTTGCTAACTCTTGGAGTTCTGAGCGGAAGCAAAGTGGATGCAGAAAACAAATGCAGATATCATGTTCAGTCTTTTTTGCTCTATAGCCATTGATTCGTCACTCAGGTAGTATACGATACGGATGCTACTGCCCCCCAGCCCCCTCCTCGATTATTTTTACATTCAACTAGAGGATCCGGAAAAAAATTCCAGAAATTAGAAATGGACGCAAACAGGGGAAATTCCTGCCTCCGTCTCCACGCTTCCTGCCTCCGTCTCCACGCTTCCCGCCTCCGTCTCCACGCTTCCTGCCTCCGTCTCCACTAGATTTTCACATGCTTCTTCGCTCACTTGATCTTTGTATATTCTCCGATAGAAAATATCATGCGTAACTTTTACAGTCCTCTTGGAGTGGAAGATGAAAAAGTGGAAGATGTAAACTATAACAATTGCACACAACCACTGGAGAAACATTTGGTGAAAATACAAATTGGCGAGAATTCATATACTGATTCTCTTGATGATGGCTTGAATTTGGAATAAATTGGACAATATAAAATATACTTAAAATTCATATTTTAAGCCTAAAGTAAAGAAACATTTTCTTATATTAGACATTTAAACTATTTTTCCTTTCAATTGGCAAATAGGGCGAAGTTTATAAATTACTTTGACTGTTTGATTAGTTTCGCCACTATTTATCATAAGTCATGGACGCCGACATTTTTTCATATTCTTCGTTCGACTTCGTAAGTTCTTCTGTTAATTTTTCAACCGTAACTAACAAACAATCCCTTTCGTGTTCCGCATTGTCCTTAATTTCTCTGAATGATTGTAATTCACTCAAAAGAGAGAGGTTTTGTCTTTGCAATGCCTCAACCTTTGACGTCGCCTCATTACATTCGCCACGTAGTTTCTCGATCATTTCATCAGACGTAAGTAGAAATCCATCGTAAGTACGATAAAGGTTTTGTTTACGATCCTCAGTCGCATTTATCTGTATGCTACCATCACCTTTTCTAATGACGGACATATGATCTATGTGAACATTTAGGGGTAGTGAAGGTTTCAGAGATAGTAAACGTGGTGGAATATCACTAGTGATATTCAACTGAAGATTTTTGAAGTTTCCGTTCAGCGGCATAACGGGTTTGGACACTTCTACTTCATCTTGTATACATTCTAAGAGACCTTCGACACTACTCATGAGTAAAGGTACCTCTACATTATTCAATATCAACGTAGCCACGCCGTTCTCAATAGCACCTTCCAAGCTCTCGTCAATCGTTGCACCCATGGCAAAACGTAGTCGGAGTTCACCAGGTCCATTTCTCGAGCCTTTATTTTCATTTTTCATATCTATTGAAGACGTTACTTTTGAATTAGCCCGTGCTTTCAACGTCTCGTGGTAAGTATCACTTACATCGCAACCTGACCCAAGAAGCTTAAATGCTAAGTCTTTATCTTTCATGGCCACGGAACATTCAAACGACTTCATTTTGATTATAACATGAGATATACGCCGCTTAGCGTCACGATATCTACGATCAGTATTTAGTAACGATTCGTCATTGCACAAAGTCAAATCATGAGCAATGTTGTCACTTTCAGTTTCAGAATTGAAAAGTTTATTATGTTCGATTAACACAGCAACATTACTTATTACATCCAATCCCGTGCTATGGTCAAATGTACTAAATTCATTATCTTTCAACATAATCTGATTTTCTACAAGTGGAATGTTATTTGAAGGCGAGAAGCTCGTTTCACAATCATCCTTGAATTGTTTGGATGATGTGTTCATACTTGGAGAGAGATTTGATTTAAAAATTTCGTCGTTGTTTTGAGATGGATCGTCATTAGGGGCAGGAACAAACATCACAACCTCAGCTCCCTTACTGATCACGGAGACGAAAATTCCCGAATCGCTCGATTGTGTTGCTTCTGCCACGTTTTCCTGTGATATTTTTCGCTGATTGTCGAACTTTTCCAAGTCAGTGTAGAGAACATCACGCAAGGCTACAAAACTCTGTTGAAGTCTCATCAAAAACACATACTGATAATGATCAAATTTCATATTTAGAACACTGGGGATCTCAACAAGGACATCCAAAGCATTTTTTGTATTCCTTTGACCGTTTTCCTTGTAATCAAAGCCAGGTGTATCCACCGACGATTCTTCACTTTCATCCGACTCTACACCACTAGTACTGTTAATATAACGCTCTGACGAATACAACGTACTGCTACAAACGTCTGTCCCACTGTTCCCCAAGCCACTCGACACAGCACTATTGTCTATTGACACGATATCTTCACGAAGGTTACGCAAGGATATCTCTGAATCACTTTCAATGGAGTTCGAGGGGAAACTGGGTTCGATCGTTTTGTCAAGAACATCTGCAGGTAAAACTGGAATATTTACAGATGCTGCCGACCGCGATTTATGAATCTTTGCGAAGCCTGGTGACGACAACGGAGTGGACAGGCTTGACGATGTTTTGCGATAGGGTCTACTTCGTTTAGAATAAGGGTCTGATGGTGACCTATGCAAAGGCGATAAGACTGTTTTCTTCACAGTCTCTGGAGGTGAATGCGTACCTGCGATTGGATAACACATACATAACTTAAAAGGAAACGGTTCTATAAAAGGCCTGGGTTGACCTTCGGCCTTCTTGATGCCAAGAAAATCGAACCAACACTGTGTGACGTTCATCATCCACACAACTGAACGAGTAAGATCATTGTAACGATTCTTAAAACTCGGGCTTACACTGAAGTCATTTAGCCACGACATTAACGGTTGAGGTCTAACGTCATTACTATGATTTGGAAACATCTCTGCATCGGATCGCAGACGGCTTTTCATGAATACATCTAGTGTATTAAGCAGGCGAGATTGAGTGAATTCATTATCACTGCGAGTGTTGGTCACACAGAATGAAGAGATGGTGATCTGCAATGCTTCTGGTCGATAATGTCGGTATTTTATCGTCGGATCACTGGAACATGGTAAAGTAAGCTATAAATAAGAACAAGAAAAAATTTGAATGATACAAAAGTACGCTTTCCAATGAGCATTCCTTAATTTTGCCCAGAAAACCATTATCAGGTAAACACTCGCCCTCTTTCACAGACCATACTATTTTTTAAAGAATGACAGAAAGCTGTATTGAAAGCAAGGACGACACTTGACGACAATATGGTGAAGGAACAAGCAGCAAAACGAGTCAAAAAATGATTTCAAATTTCGAACAGAGGGAATCACAGGATGATTCACGGTCCAACTGACCAAAAATTGACTCAAATGCAGTATACTTGAAAAATAATGGGGTGGGGTGGGTGGGTGGGTGAGTACGACTGTGTCTTCCCCAGTGAAATATCAAAAATCAAGAATAGATTTTCATGCATCAAATTTTTAAGGTGTAAATACAGTATACAAACCTTTTGCATGTATCCTTCAATGCGTACATCAATGTGGCGTGGCTCTGCTTCCTGAGCAGCGATTCTTTCTTCCGCCCAAACCTAAATAGTTTAAAGGAAAAATGCTGATTAACAATAGCGGTAGTTTTATTGAAAGATATACGTACAACAAACGTTTCATGTTCACATTACCATATTTGGTATTTGGTCAGCGGTGACTACAATATATATTTAACTAGAATGTTACTTCAAAATAAACATCAACACCTATTTACTCTACGACGTATACTCGTGCCATATATTTACAATGCAACGAAAGCTTTGGATTTTCGGTCGAAATTATGTTCACAATCTCTCAATGAGAGACCACGCTAATTTCATAAGACATTACCGTAAATACTAGTGAATTCAGAAAAAGACCACAGAGCAGTGAAGTCGGTGGAATTTCCATTGTAACTAATGAAACTTGTGAGTACTTACAAAACCAGAACGAATGCTCTGCACAAATCTGTGAAACCAAATACAAGTAATGTTGTCCATTGTCAAATGTAGTGGATTAAGCTGGCAGAAGAGGTTCGGCTGCGGAACTGTCGAAAAAAATGAAATGAACAAAAAACGAACTAAGGAACCAATTACTGCTATTTACATCTTTGTTTGGCGTTTGAAACAACGATCACCAAAATGTATCCGGTCCGACATCAGTAGGGCAGTATGGTGTAAACAAGAAAAGCCTTAAGGTATCAGTTGTACTCTTACGTACATTTCACTGAACAGATATCATCTCATATTGTTTTGCTTTACTATTATATACAGAGTGCATTCTTTCATTTAAAGTTCAGCCTTAAATGCGCGCTGGGAAAAATGAGAAATTCGCGTTGTTTGAAATACACAGCTAAGCACGTAAACATAGAGAGAACAGTGAATTATATCGGTTATTCTAGCTTAAAGTTCAACTTTAAAACCAATTCAGTTCATCGATAGTGTTTCTTAAGAGATGGTAGCTATTTTATGCAATTAGCAATTGTTAACGTACCTTTCGCATCCTCTTGACCAGGGTAGAAGTATAATGTGTAATCAAACTGTAATGAGGGCAAACCGCTGGGCAAAGGTTGCGATTTATTGTCAGAACATATGAACGGAGTTTTTGTTGTAGTTGATTTATTGTTCGTAACGACCTATCGTAAAACATGATAAACGATTGTTTAAAAAATTTGACTAAAAAATTAAAAGACGTTAACTGTTTTTGCACAGGCTTAAGCAAATCTAGGAGACTTTTGGGAGAACTCGAGAGCAATTAAGTGCAAGCCCGAGATTGAAGGTCTAGTGTTAAACCTTATCGAGAGTTCTCACAAACGTCTCCGAGGTTTGCATAAACAAAAAAAAACATCGTTTCAATTTTCCTTATAAAATGTATTCATGATTGATTTGCAAATTCTTTTTCATTGATTGATTGATTTGATTGGAAGGATTCCTGTCATTGATTGATTGATTTGATTTGGAGGATTCCTGTCATTGATTGATCGGAGTTCATAAGGAAAACCTTCAACCATTTTTCGGACATGATTGCAATGCTGGAAATGAGCAAAAATGGCGCGAAAAACATTGTTCACGTCATACAGTAAAAAAGCCTGTGAGATCATAATAGGGGAAAATGATTGCTGAACATGATGGACTAGCAAAGCTAAGAAGGAGAAAAAAGAAGGTAAAAAGGCAAAGGTACACCATCAAAAGATCGCAGGTTGATGAATGAATTTCCTCATCTTTTTTAGGACACGGCGCTCTTATAATTTATACAACACAAGACTGTGTAAAAACACTTGACTTAATACTTGACTTACCGCCATCACAATAAACTCGTCACAGCTAATGATAAAAACGCACTCGTACACTTAATACTTGACTTACCGCCATCACAATAAACTCGTCACAGCTAATGATAAAAACGCACTCGTACACTTAATACTTGACTTACCGACATCACAATAAACTCCTCACAGCTAATGATAAAAACGCACTCGTACACTTAATACTTGACTTACCGACATCACAATAAACTCGTCACAGCTAATGATAAAAACGCACTCGTACACTTAATACTTGACTTACCGGCATCACAATAAACTCGTCACAGCTAATGACAAAAACGCACTCGTACACTTAATACTTGACTTACCGGCATCACAATAAACTCCTCACAGCTAATGACAAAAACGCACTCGTACAATTGCGCAGGTTTCTGAAGAACATCATCTGAAACAATGACATAATCATTATCCACGCTTGAAACAGAACTTGAGGAAGTTTTCTTTAAGCCAACATCACCGTTCTGAGATCTCTGTAAATAATATTGGACAAAACAATCAATATTTTCTTGGTCGGAAGCAGAATTTAAACTATTTCCATGGCGTTAGTTAAACACCAGGAGTTGACTAATTAACTAAAGTCAACTTATTGCAAATGCCAACACTAAGATTGATTAATCCCCTAAAGTTTACTAATCACAAATGTCAACACTAAGATTGACTAATCCACTAAAGTTAACGAATCACAAATGTCAACACTAAGATTGACTAATCCACTAAAGTTAACGAATCACAAATGTCAACACTACGATTGACTAATCCACTAAAGTTAACTTATCATAAATGTCAACACTAAGATTGACTAATCCACTAAAGTTAACTTATCACAGGAGTCAATACCTGAAATCCACAAAATGACTCCATAATATTTACGTTTACAACGTTACACGACGTAAACATGTTATTACCACCAAGATTATAACAAAAACGCACCTTAACATGTGATTTCTGCCTTCTTATCTTCTCTTCTCTCGAATTTTTGTCGTACGAGCTCATCAGTTCGCTTTCCCATTCGGCCCGCTTAATAGATGCAAGATTATGTGATGACCAGTGGGTACGTGGTGTAAGCGCCAAATGATATGGATAGTGCTCTAGCGATAACCAATTAACAACTATCTGCATTGAACCACCCAGTTGCCCGCCATCTCCGAGAACTGACTTTTCAATAGGTGTGTCATCACACAAATGGATGTCAATTTTTCCTGTCGTAACACGATATGACGTTTCTTTGACATCTTCTTTCTCAAATAACGTCATTGATATCTGATCAGTTTCATCTACCGCTGACACATATTCTTCAGTCTTGTTTGCTGGCGCGTACGGCGAATAGAAGGAATCATCTGATGACTAAATACGCAAAGGAGAAAAGAATTATAAAAGAAGGAATCATCTGATGACTACATACGCAAAGGAGAAAAGAATTATAAAAGAAGGAATCATCTGATGACTAAATTCGCAAAAGAGAAAAGAATTATAAAAGAAGGAATCATCTGATGACTAAATACGCAAAGGAGAAAAGAATTATAAAAGAAGGAATCATCTGATGACTACATACGCAAAGGAGAAAAGAATTATAAAAGAAGGAATCATCTGATGACTACATACGCAAAGGAGAAATGAATTATAAAAGAAGGAATCATCTGATGACTACATACGCAAAGGAGAAAAGAATTATAAAAGAAGGAATCATCTGATGACTACATACGCAAAGGAGAAATGAATTATAAAAGAAGGAATCATCTGATGACTACATACACAAAGGAGAAAAGAATTATAAAAGAAGGAATCATCTGATGACTACATACGCAAAGGAGAAATGAATTATAAAAGAAGGAATCATCTGATGACTACATACGCAAAGGAGAAATGAATTATAAAAGAAGGAATCATCTGATGACTACATACACAAAGGAGAAAAGAATTATAAAAGAAGGAATCATCTGATGACTACATACGCAAAGGAGAAATGAATTATAAAAGAAGGAATCATCTGATGACTACATACGCAAAGGAGAAATGAATTATAAAAGAAGGAATCATCTGATGACTACATACGCAAAGGAGAAATGAATTATAAAAGAAGGAATCATCTGATGACTACATACGCAAAGGAGAAATGAATTATAAAAGAAGGAATCATCTGATGACTACATACACAAAGGAGAAAAGAATTATAAAAGAAGGAATCATCTGATGACTACATACGCAAAGGAGAAATGAATTATAAAAGAAGGAATCATCTGATGACTACATACGCAAAGGAGAAATGAATTATAAAAGAAGGAATCATCTGATGACTACATACGCAAAGGAGAAAAGAATTATAAAAGAAGGAATCATCTGATGACTACATACGCAAAGGAGAAATGAATTATAAAAGAAGGAATCATCTGATGACTACATACGCAAAGGAGAAATGAATTATAAAAGAAGGAATCATCTGATGACTACATACGCAAAGGAGAAATGAATTATAAAAGAAGGAATCATCTGATGACTACATACACAAAGGAGAAAAGAATTATAAAAGAAGGAATCATCTGATGACTACATACGCAAAGGAGAAATGAATTATAAAAGAAGGAATCATCTGATGACTACATACGCAAAGGAGAAATGAATTATAAAAGAAGGAATCATCTGATGACTACATACGCAAAGGAGAAAAGAATTATAAAAGAAGGAATCATCTGATGACTACATACGCAAAGGAGAAATGAATTATAAAAGAAGGAATCATCTGATGACTACATACGCAAAGGAGAAAAGAATTATAAAAGAAGGAATCATCTGATGACTACATACGCAAAGGAGAAATGAATTATAAAAGAAGGAATCATCTGATGACTACATACACAAAGGAGAAAAGAATTATAAAAGAAGGAATCATCTGATGACTACATACGCAAAGGAGAAATGAATTATAAAAGAAGGAATCATCTGATGACTACATACGCAAAGGAGAAATGAATTATAAAAGAAGGAATCATCTGATGACTACATACACAAAGGAGAAAAGAATTATAAAAGAAGGAATCATCTGATGACTACATACGCAAAGGAGAAATGAATTATAAAAGAAGGAATCATCTGATGACTACATACGCAAAGGAGAAATGAATTATAAAAGAAGGAATCATCTGATGACTACATACGCAAAGGAGAAATGAATTATAAAAGAAGGAACTCGCAAGATAATTAGAGAGGTACAAATTCGTACGTATTTATCGGAGGCATTTCTAAATCATTTGAAAAAACAAACTCGGAGCAGCGAAAAAGGCAGTAAAGAATAGTTGAAACATACTGCTGTACTGTGTAAAAATGATGTAATACAAATGTAAATACGTACTGTGTAAATACATACTTTCAAAATAAAAATAATAAAATAATAAAATAATAACAACTAACCACACTAGGAGCTGGCTCGCTTTTCTTGCATTTTTCCACGACTTGAACGACAGACTTGGCAAAGCCTGCAACTGCTTGTAACTGCGCATGCGTCAGGACCCAGAGCACATCATCAAATATGGCGTGGAGTCTTGCAGCAACAACGGAACAATTTTCAATCTTTTTCTTTATGACAATGTTCACTTTGGCCGAGCTCGTGATCAACCGTAATGGTGATGACGAAGAACTCTGAAAAGGAAAACATGAATACGAATATAATGGCTAATAAAAGTTAACAACATTTTCATATAGGTTTATCCCTTTTAAAAAAAGACTTATAAATGACTTATTCCCACATCTCGTAGTCTATTAACCCTTTTCCACGTGCACTACAAACAGTCATTCCCTGTTCAATGTTGGTTTTAATCCCATTTTTTTTGTATCGTCTTTGTCGTTCAATTCATTATCTTCATGGCTAGGTACCTCTTCACAAGTATCATTCCTAGCATTGTTACGTATAATCTTATAATTAATATCATTATGTTTCTCGATCATCATCATCCTCGCAAAATTCATAAACTACAATGTTCTAATGCGTATCTCATTATCTTATAATTAATATCATTATGTTTCTCGATCATTATCCTCGCAACATTCATAATCTACAATGTTCTTATGCGTATCTCATTATCTTATAATTAATATCATTATGTTTCTCGATCATCATCATCCTCCCAACATTCATAAAATACAATGTTCTAATGCGTATCTCATTATCTTATAATTAATATCATTATGTTTCTCGATCATCATTATCCTCGCAACATTCATAAAATACAATGTTCTAATGCGTATCTCATTATCTTATAATTAATATCATTATGTTTCTCGATCATCATTATCCTCGCAACATTCATAAACTACAATGTTCTTATGCGTATCTCATTATCTTATAATTAATATCATTATGTTTCTCGATCATCATCATCCTCGCAACATTCATAAACTACAACGTTCTAATGCGTATCTCATTATCTTATAATTAATATCATTATGTTTCTCGATCATCATTATCCTCGCAACATTCATAAACTACAATGTTCTAATGCGTATCTCATTATCTTATAATTAATATCATTATGTTTCTCGATCATCATTATCCTCGCAACATTCATAAACTACAATGTTCTAATGCGTATCTCATTATCTTATAATTAATATCATTATGTTTCTCGATCATCATCATCCTCCCAACATTCATAAAATACAATGTTCTAATGCGTATCTCATTATCTTATAATTAATATCATTATGTTTCTCGATCATCACCCTCGCAACATTCATAAACTACAACGTTCTAATGCGTATCTCATTATCTTATAATTAATATCATTATGTTTCTCGATCATCATTATCCTCGCAACATTCATAAACTACAATGTTCTTATGCGTATCTCATTATCTTATAATTAATATCATTATGTTTCTCGATCATCATCATCCTAGCAACATTCATAAACTACAATGTTCTAATGCGTATCTCATTATCTTATAATTAATATCATTATGTTTCTCGATCATCATCATCCTCGCAACATTCATAAACTACAATGTTCTAATGCATATCTCATTATCTTATAATTAATATCATTATGTTTCTCGATCATCGTCATCCTCACAACATTCATAAACTACAATGTTCTAATGCGTATCTCATTATCAATGTTGTATTGTATATCTCATTCAGAAGCGGATCAATGCTCATTTGACAGGAGGGGTGGAGAATATTTTAAGGGGTTGGCATCGTCATCCTAGCTTAAGTTGCAAGGGCCTGGGGCTATTGTGGATAGTTAGGCTTACGAATGAGTGAACCTTACGTAATTAAAGTGTTATAGTCTTTTTAAAAATTTTTTGTATGTTTTTTGTTAATGAATGCGTGTATAGTAATATATTTCAATTTTAATGTATCAACGAAAACACAAATGGTAGAAACTCGATCGCAAATGTTGGTAGTACAAAATATGCAATTACCTTTGAAATGAGATGTTTATCTACTTTTACTTAGTTTTACAGTACAATTTCACCACCTCTAATCTTGTAAACTGATATCTATCTTCAGCAGTACGTAATACTATTTCAGAATTTTTCTTGAGGGGTTAATCGAGAATTTTAGGGGGGACATCCCCCTGCATGCACCCTCAGAAAATCCGCCCTGATCTCATTATCAATGTCCTAAAATGTACCTCAGTATCAATGTGTACATTAACAACGTTTTAGTGCGTACTGCAATGACAAAAACCTAGCATTGTTTATGATAGTCCCATCTTAATATGAATGAATGAATGAATGAAAATGAATGAAAATCTTTATTTTAACACGCTGGACTCGTCAACTGGGGTTGATTTCCACGAGGGGCGTGCTTTTTTTCAAAAGCGATTACAAAATTTACTAAAAAATAAAATATCTATAGAAGAGAAAGATCTTATCTGCTCTATCTATCTGCTCCTACGTATGTAATGACGTTAACTAAATGACGTCAGCATACTCTTGTCTGCTTTGCAGACCATTGAAGTCTTACATCTTAATATCTGCTCTTACGTATGTAATGACGTTAAATAAATGACGTCAGCATACTCTTGTCTACTTTGCAGACCATTGAAGTCTTACATCTTGATGTCTGCTCTTCGAAAAATCACATCATCGCTACATACAATCACCTAAACATTGTTTAAATTGCAAGGACTTACATCTTCACGTCCGCTCTTATACAAAGCATCTGCGTCAACCCGTACGGCGCCGAAAGTAATCTGCCTGAACGTCAATATTTCCTTTTCCGACTTGTCTTTAATTCTTGTATTTCTAAGACTAGTTTTCATCCAGTTTGGATCAGTACTGTGAACTGAAACATGAGACATTTGGCACGTGGCGCGAAATATTGGCGTTTTAAAAGCCACCACGACTGAATTTATGGTCACGTGCATTCCATCGACAACTTTATCAGTGAAACCATATTGTGAAGGTTTCTCTCTACACAACGAAAATGTCTTCAGTTAATGTTGCTAAAGAGGGTGAGTTGCGGGTGTTCTAGGTACATCAAACACTAAACATCATAGAAAACAAAAAAAGGGTGGGTGAGGGTGTTTTAGGTACATCAAACACTAAACATCATACAAAACAAAAGAAGGTGGGTGGGGGTGTTTTAGGTACATCAAACACTAAACATCCTACAATACAAGAGGGTGGGGGGTGGTGTTTTAGGTACATCAAAACATTAAACATCATACAAAACAAAAGAGGGTAGGTGAGGGTGTTTTAGGTACATCAAGCACTGAACATAATGCAAAACAAAAGATGGTGTGTGGGGGTGTTTTAGGTACATCAGGCACTAATCATCACAACAAACAGATACAAAATGCCATGTACATTAAGTATAACACTAACACTCAATAATCAGTCAAGTATGAATTACATACATACCTTGGAATCAGATTATTTAAAGAACTATTTTGCCGTGCATTATCATCAGAAACATTTTCAATCATTTCCATATCAACTTCAACACAGTCTAGGAACTGAAAAAATGAGATCACACAAACATGCATAATTTATCTATGCAACACATACCAGAGCCCACTAATGTAGATTTTAAAAAAAGAAGACAGTTTTCTATCATACAGCATGTTCACAGAGAAAAATACGTATAACAAAAAACAAATTTTTCATAAACAAGAGCTCTTGCTTCAGAAAGATGGGACAAGACTGGTGATTTTCCATTTCTACGTCCATAAGAAATATTTCGTAGAAGCACTATTGCTAATGTGCATTTAATATAGATGACAAGTTTTTCAAGACTAGACATGTTTCGGCATCTCGTGATGCCATCTTCAGTATAAGTGAAGATGGCATCATGAGATGCCGAATTAATTTGTCTATTCACAAAAAACTTGTTGTCTATATTAAATGCACATAAGAAATATCATACGTATCTCAAATCAGACCCAATGTACGTAAGTATTTTGGTGGTTTGATACTATACTAGCAATCTAGCACTGCCTAAGATGAAAAGTTTTTAGGAAACAAAAAGTACTTGCTTGTTCATTGTTATTTGCATCAGGAAATAAAATGGTGTTAATAAACTAAAACAGTGTGTTAGCCATGACTTGGATAACACAAGGAATTGAAACCACTCAACTTGGTCTTTCTCATTCAGGGTGAAAAATTAGGGATTGGCAAAAGATATTTTTTATATTGTATGTCAAAAATCAAATTCACAAGACTAAAAAGTAAAAAAATATCAAATAAATGACATCTTTGACACTATGCTTATGGCTAAGAAGAGGATGCTTGCACATTCACTAAATCAACATACCAATTTTATTGGATCAGTCTTTAACCGTGTCCAATGAATCTATACAGAATGTAAATGATAATGTTAATTTGATGGGTTTTAAAAAAGAAACAAGTGATTCAATTTTTTCACATATGAATAAAGAAACATGAGCATTGTGGGAGGGGAGGGATGGTGAGGGGTTGTATAATTGTTTCAATTTCATTTTTATCATAAATACTCTTTGAAATATGATACATGATATATTTATAGACAAGAGGTTGATACGGAAGTTATTTACAGATTGTGATTAGGGGTGTTAGGTTATTTACAAATTAAAGATAGTATTGACATGCTGAATTTGTTTGTTGGGATTAGGCTTGAGTTTTTTCATGTACAGTGCTTCTTTGAGTTTTAAAGATGAAGGAGAGTGTGCACTGTCTAATATACAAAAGCAGGATTGTGAGTATTTATATTAGAAAGTGCATGCACTCCTTCCTCTTTAAAGCTCAACGAAGCAATGTACATGAAAAAACTCAAGCCTAATCCCAACAAACAAACTAAATCGTTGGAAATCTTACAAAAAAAACATTTTGCTTCCCACTTTGACAGTAGAGGAACCAATAACATGCTTTCACGCCAAACAATAACAATGAATACTTGTATTTTTCTTTTAAAACACGCCATACATGTGTATTTCCTAAGCGAAATCATTCAAGGGTGGAGCTTGGATAGTGTGGTAAAATTAACCAAAAAAAATGCAAAGTTTACATTTTTTTGTAACACAAATGTTATGAATGAAAACTTAAAAGAAATAAAAACAAGCATTTGAGCCAGGTGGCCTAATGATTTTTCCACCTCAAACATCAGAAAACAGTGAATGTGTATATTAGTTACAATTTAAATGAAATGTTTACATTTTATAGACGACAGCAAGTATTTAAATATTTCCTTGGAATTGCTTGATTTGCTTCCTATAATAAATACCATCACAGCACAACAAGGGGAGATAAAAATAACGCATTTGATGAGCTAAAGATTTTGAATGATTTGTGGTTTTCGTTAACGAAAGAAAATTTCCGACAAAACCCACAATCGACGTGGACATTATTTATTCAATATATCGATAAGACATTGTTACAAATTCCTACAAATGATTTTTCCAAGAATGCCTTTAATAATGACATTCTCTGCAAAGGATTCAGGAATATTGTTCCACTTTATACAAACCTTTGCAGAAATTTTGTCACATACTGCACGAGTAAGACGAATGAAAGGTGGCAACTCCAACAAATCGCTGAGAAAATCTTCATTTAATTCTAAATTTTGCAATTCTCCTTCGCCTTTGAAGAATTTCAGGTTTATTTTACTAGGCGACAAGTTCTTTGTGAACCTAGAACAATGGCAATGGTTAAAAGCTTACAACTAGATACAATCATTGAGCTATCGGCCTTTATATATGTGCAGTGGTAGCACTAGAAGTACCTCGCTAACGATTTGACAATTTGATTTTTTATGATAGTAGTCATGATAACTTTCTGTTTTTCAATGCCATTATAGCCGATATTAATGATTTCTCTCCATAAAATCCACAAAATTTTGCATTTATTTAGCCAATATCCCGTCCAAAAACATCAGTAAACTAAACAGACTTCCAGAGTTCCAAACCGGTTGTGTTTATGAGTCATTGTACCTTAATATCTCAAATGACACCTTTGGCAATACTTGGTGTAACGAAAATGACTGCGCCCAACAAATTCACTTTTGTTTTTGGTTTCATCTCTGAATATATGAATTAGCCATTGTAGCAAAATATTGCTTCCTGATAAATATGATGTGTTTTAGAATATGAAATATTTGAGTCTCGAGAATAAGTTTAGCGTATATTTATATTACCTGGTTGTCGCTTATGCCTTATGGGTGGAGCTAAACGACATCTGACATGAATTACATAATATGCAATGCCCTCCTAATTAATTCTAGAGCCCACTTGAACGTGGGAAGCAGTACCAGTCACACAAAAGGATCGCATGAATTTTGAAATTAACATATTGCACTCAATGCCACTCATCAACTTTGTTTAGTTGGTTTCACCTAACATGAACACAATTGTAATTAATATACACACAAAAAAATGATAGCATAATGCTTTATCCAACAACTATAAAAAATAACGACCTTATCTAACATCTTCTGAATGTTAACCTTCCACTCCGAACACCTACTTTATAAGCCCTTGACTTATCGTATGGCTCTCTACTTTTGAGTAGAGTTGTGTCGTCCACAAGAAAGAGGAGTGGAAGGTTAACATTAAAATGTTGTTACATAAGGTCGTTGCTGAATATACATACGTGTAAATGTGCAGTATATTCATATATATTATATATTATTGTCACACACATTAATATTGACATTGATATGAGTGTGAAATACAATTGTTTGTCTCAATTTTTGCATAACATATAATCAACAATCATCTTCCCAGCTCATGTTGCAGATCTCAGCAGACTGGGACCAATCATTGAATCAAAGGTTTTTGTGAGCGACAAAATATCGACTTTCTCTTCTGCATACGAAATTTTGTTTGCATAGGTAATTTTAAAGAACATATGGCGTCGAACTGTGACTAATTTAGTAATTAAAGAACAGCCAACATTTTTATGTTGTTTTCGTAATAATTTAAAATGTCAGCTGTATTAAATGAAAATCAACTGAAGAAACTGTCAAAGCACAAGTATAATGCAGAATGTTCAACTTTATTCGATCCAATTATGCAGATCTGGTGGCGCTGGTTCGTCGAGAGAATGCCGCTTTGGGTAGCACCAAATACAATTACTATTTTGGGATTACTGATTAACTTTATTACAACACTGATTTTGGTTTATTTTTCACCACAAGCACACTCTAAGGTACGATGTAGATGTCAATCATTGATGTGTCCTTCATGTAGACTTTCAAATGTTCGTTTTATACTGTTATGTATTTGATAGTAGTCATAATGACAGTACTCTTGTTTTGTAGTATTATGAATATATAAATTAAATTACACTGTTTAGTTTTTAATTTTTTTCTTTAATGCATGACTTAAGCTCAGTTCCTACGAAATTAACAGATATTTTATCGCGGCTGCCGAAGATTTTATTTGACTCTGATAATGACTACCGCTAAGGTTGTCGAAACGTCAGTCGACAACAACAAAAACAGTCCTTCTCAGGACTCTACCAACCTGGACGATCTACATTTACAAACATGTAACGATACTCCCGGGCTCAAACCATTTGCTTTATTACAAAGATTTTCTTTGTTGACAAAATAATTTTGTGTGGAGTAAGACATTTGACAAAGTTATACATAATTACGTATATATTCTCAGTTGGTGTGACAAGATCCTGACTGTCCTGTGATATTGAGAAAGTTGAACAACTAAGGCAGTTTTTGGGTGTTCTAGTGTTATTGTCCATAAGGGTACAATTAATGTCATTAGGAATGAGTTCTGTGAATTGTAGAAAAATTAACCTCCAGCATATCTCATCAATATCAACAATCATTTGACAACAAACTATAATATTTATTGTTGATTTAAGGCTCATTTAAATGAAAGTGTAAAAAGGGAAAAAAATTATTTTTGATTTATTTTCCCCCCTTTCTCCACGTATAAAAACACTCAACTTAAGAAATGTCAGATTGTGTTTCATAATAGTACGATACTACAGAATAGAAATGTTTTGCTTGTGAAGTCAATCAGCATGTGGGCTTTTTAAGTTTATGTACAATTATTAAGGTTTGCACAACTACGTAACATCATTGTCATATAATGCAATGTATATGTAGAATAACTATCATGAGGAGAAGCCATTATTTTAATGCTTAGTATTGTCTCAAGCTTCCAGAAGTGCATTTAATGAGTATAATTAAAGTGGAAATCATCTTCAGGGAATATGAAGAGAATTGTTTTTCTGTGCTAGAAATTGCTTTCAGAATGATATTTCTTACATAAGTCTGTATGGTGTGTACCTTAAGTTTCATTTGCATCAGTAGAGGTTTTAAGTATACGTATCTTACTTAAGTGACATTTTTAAGAATGCATGCCACTTTCTGCTTTGTTGAACCCTTGTATTAATTACATCCCTCCAGGATTTAGACTATGTATGTTGTTGCTTAAACAATGCTCTTGAAACATTTTTGTAATTTGCGTAACCGGTAGTTTGCATCTAGTTACATTGTAAAATATATGTATTCCAAGTACTGATTTGGTATTACATAAATGTACCTACTTTATACTTAGGTGCCATCTTGGAGTCTCTATCTTAATGGCTTTGGGCTTTTTGTTTACCAAACGCTTGATGCCATTGATGGGAAACAAGCTCGTAGAACTAACAGTAGCTCCCCATTGGGTGAACTTTTTGATCATGGCTGTGATGCTATGTCAATGGTCATTGTCATGTCAGGAGTATCAGTTGCTTTGAAACTGGGTGAAGTACCACATATCATGGTTTTTCTAACTTTTGCAGCATGTGTATTGTTCTACTTTACACATTGGAGAGCGTATGTAACTGGAGTAGTTCGATTTGGAATGTATGTTGAAATTATTTAAATGTATAAATTGTTGATAAAATGCCAGAGATATCATATATAACTTATGTTTCATATTTCATATGAAACATTGATAATCATTTTGAAATTCACCCTGATTTAAAATACATAAACAATCAGTCATTAATGTATATCATATTAAACTAATAATCATATTTGGCACATCTTTCCTTAAACCTAGTCATAGGTGCATCTTGCATTGAACTACTTTGTCATTGGACATTAAACTGGTAGTAGTTGGTATCTACATAGGAGCCGTGGACATTTAATATTTAGTTTGGGGGCTAGTATTTATAAATGCATGTTCTGCTTTATTAGTTTCTATTGGAATGAAATGCGATTTTTGGATTATAACATGTGAATATGTGAATATAAGCACACCAAAAATCACATCATACTCCCTGATAGTACATAGTAGTAGCTTTAATATACTAAATTAAAATTGTGGTGGGATGAATGCATTCAATGCAACATAAAAACTTAATAAAATAAACACACTGTTGCCAATGAGGTGCCAGTCGGGAAACTGATTCTCAATATAAATATTAGAGCCCAACAAATAATTTTAAACATAATCATAAACAATTTGGTTTTATGAAATTTATTAATACCTCAAACTATGTAAATAGCTCTATATATATCTATATTCTTGTTAACTTCCTAATTAGTCTGAAGATGTCTTGAGTAAAGACAAAACGTCACTCTTCTAATAAATTTCATAAAGTCAAATTGTTTATGACTATGTTTAGAATTATTTGTTGGGCTCTTATATTTATATTGAAAATAAACACACCCTCGCCATTTTCTTCATAAAGATTGGCCTTACAGCTAAGTTTTTGCTGTTTAGGCAATGTTTATATTTATCAAATAAATTGGAGTACTTCTTTGGCAGTACGTAAATATCTCATTTTTAGAATTGACATTACTGAGATGCAGCTTTTCGGTGTACTTCTTTTCTCTGCTTGTGGATTTTATGGCCAAGAAGTAATTTTGTTAAAAGTATGTAAGGTCTATTTGTATTTATATAAAAAACTTCATCGCATTATGTACATGAAATTATTGATTTTTTATAATACTCAGTTTTGTTTGGTACAAAAGTTTAGTAAGCTTACTTATCTAATTTTGCTGCTTATTTTCTTTAAGGTACCTGTGTTGCAGTTTGACTGTAGGGAACTAATATTTTGGTTAGGGATAGTCTCATTTCTTTGTGTAACTCTGCTGTCAATATATGAAATATTACAAGGTGGCGTTGGCAAAAATGGATCATCAATTGCTGTATGTACCAATGACAATTAAAAATCTAGCATGTTTACTATGGATCTATCATATTTACAATGGATCTAGCATGTTAACGATGGACCTATCATGTTTACAATGGATCTAGCATGCTTACCATGGATCTATCATGTTTACAATGGATCTAGCATGTTTACCATGGATCTAGCATGTTTACCATGGATCAATCATGTTTAGAATGGATCTAGCATGTTTACAATGGATCTAGCATGTTTACCATGGATCTAGCATGTTTACCATGGATCAATCATGTTTACCATAGATCTAGCATGTTTACCATGGATCTAGCATGTTTATCATGGAATAATCATGTTTACCATAGATCTAGCATGTTTACCATGGATTTAGCATGTTTACCATGGATCAAGCATGTCTACCATGGATCTATCTTGTTTAACATGGATCCATCGATTCATCTATCATGTTTACCACGTACCTAACATGTTCAACATGGATCTAGCATGTTTACCATGGATCTTACATGTTAACTATGGATCTAGCATGTTTACCCATGATCTAGCCTGTTTACCATCGATCATGATTATACTTTTGAGCAATTGGAGTTTGATTAGAATTTCAGCAACATAACTGATATTTACGTATGATAACATGCCATTATTCATTCTACTTAGAAAAAGTATCTGTTAGTACTTTTTAAAAAAGCACTGTTCCCATATTTACGATATTTTTTAGTCACGATGCATTGTGTACATCATTTTATTTTTTTAATTGCTCATCGTCTTTCTCTTACAATCCATGTGTACTTGGCCAAGGCGTAATACGTTACACATCTCTCACAATCCGTCTTGATTACGTACTTACTAATGCCAACAGCCCAATAAAGATAATTGTCTTGTTTAAAGAGAGTTGTTTACTTGAAGTTGAAGAACGGATAGTAAAATTATCGGAGATTATGCAAATGCTAAAGGAAATGTTATAAATATACCTAAAATAGTGGCAATTACAGTAATTAGAAATTATAACAATAATTTGATTTATGATCGTGTAGTTGAATATTTGTCTGTTTTCTAATTTTTTTTAGGATACCAGCGTACTTTCTCCTGCTGTGCCGTTAGTCGTCAATATATATTTGATTTTCTACAACTACACCTACTCAAATAGTCACGTGTTTGAGAGATCGCCATTGTTATTTGTTTTTGCATTTGGTATCGTCCTGGCAAAAACGTCAATTCTTTTAGTGGTAAGTGTTTCATATGAGATTTGACGACGATAAATATCGACATCTCTCTTAAACTCAATTGCTCTTAGCAATGTCGCTGCCACTGGGCAAATAACTTCTTCAGTAGCTTCTGTTACTAAAAATAAATTTGAAGTACATTTAAGGGGAATGTTGTATATGTACAATGTATCAATCCAGTAGGTTAATTCATGTAATTAGCTGTGCCCGAATAATTTCTTTTGAAAGCAATTCACTGAAGGTATAAAGTAATAATACGTCCAAAAGAAATCAGTCAGGCGCACCGGAATATATGAATGAACCCCAATTAACGTTCTCGGGACGGCTCTGTTTCTGAAAAATATCTTGTAGTGGTTTCTGTAATGCTTCGTATAATTACATAATTTGAAACATTTATTGTCTACCATGAGTATATAGAATCTGCAACTGTGTGAATGTCCTTCTATTCCCCTACAAACAGTGGATTTCTTGAATGTTTTCTCGTTGCAAAAAAATTCCACGTAAATACAAACGTCTATCGTTATATTTTCACCGTAGGTTGCGTGTATGTGTAAAAGTCCAATACCTATGCTTGATTACGTGCTGATGGTCCCTTTCCTTCAATTAATCAATATTCATTTCAATTCACCCATGAGTGAATACAAGTTACTTTGGTTTTGTCTGGTAAGTTTTGATGTCGACTAATTGTCTCTATAAATACGGTGTACGATGAGAGTACGCCGTATGTTTACGAAAGATATTTTCAGAAATTTATCTTAAGACATACTTCAAGTTTCTTCCAAAGAAATAATTTTTTTAATGCACTCAAACGCTCACTGATATAATATTTTATGAAACAAACTTTCGGCTGTCTGTCTACAGCCTTCGACGGGTTATAAAAAAAATGAATGGGATGCGTAACCAGTCGAAGGCTGTACACAGACAGCCGAAAGCTTGTTTGATAAAATATTAAATCAGTGAATGACTGCATTATAAATATTCCTGATATCGGATCACGCATTTTTTCTTAATTTTTTTATCACTACTTGCAATTTATGTCGTCCAAATATCTTGTATTTTTTAGATATTTTCCTTCCTCCATCTGATCCAGTATTGTTACGTTGTCATCAACGAAATATGTGATTACTTGAATGTACGGTGTTTTACAATTACTCCAAAACAAGTTTCCCAGCAATCGACAAAAAAAGGGAGCTAGCTACGTAAACGTTGTCGACTACTTGCCAATCAATGTTCGTTTCATATTTTTGTGTGTTTCGTTTTGTTGACCGTTTTTTTAATTAAAATCTATTTTACGGGGTTAGGCTTTTGATTTCGATATTATTAGAATATGATTGATAACGTAGAAGACAAGTCTTTCAATCGATGCCGGCTTGACTATAAAGACGTTTCTCAGTTTACCGTAAACTGTGAAATTTCCAGATTATATCGCCCGTATATGTATTCTGCAGGAGTTGGGGCCATACAGAAAAATTAGAGGCCCGGTATGCTTTCTTCACTTGTGTAAACCGGATTTTGTTTGTGATAAGCAGCGATACCATCCACTTGTGCGAAGCCACAAGAACAAACAAACCCTAACTGCCTTGTGGTTCTTTGCATCAGGCATTTTCTTACAACTTGAAGGGGGCACAATGCAGAGAAATCAACAATATCTTGAATGATCTGAGATGTTTCTCTTCGGAGCATTGAAGATAAAGCAGAATCAGTCAATTAGTTTATAAGATGAGTAGATGACTATCCTCAAACAATAAAATGGAGAAACAAACAAAATAAATAAAAAAGTAACTTTTTTAAGTTGGTGTTCTGTTTTCACTGTTCCGTCTTTGATTGGTTGGATTGATTGTAATTGACCTTTTTGAATTGGCGCGCTTTTCAACCCAAGGTCGAATGTCTGAACTAATTAAGTTAACTGGATTAAAAAATTTATGCAAATGTAAGGTTTGTTGTTAACTCTAGTTAACCGAATTTTAAACGACTGGTCCCTTACTGATAACTTGTGTATTGACAATGACACTTCACGTTAAGGTAAGTTTTGTTTATTTGCCAATTTTTGTCCGTTTACGCTACTTAATCTGCGCTGAAGATGAACGGTTGATTCATACGTATGACTTATGCTGGATGAAGTTAACTCGTGTTTTCGCAAATTTTTTTAAGCGTAGCGCTAACAAAGAGGTCTGCATAACTGTTAGATGGAATAACTTTCCTTTCTTTTTTCAAATATTGTAATTATTTTCACATTATTGTGGTGACTACTGCCGTGTAGTGAATTGGTAAGCTCCCTCGCATTGATATTTTTTATTTCAAAATCACGTTCGTACGTCTTCCATTTGATTTCGGATTTCTAAAGTTAGTTTTTTGTTGTAGTTTATAGTAATAATATTGAATTTGCTCAAATTCTCTATGAAACACACGTCAAAACAAAAGAAGTGCGTGCAAAAATTCATTCAGTAGTATTCGCAAAAATGTAATTTAATATTTTATATATTTCACTAACATATCAGTCGCCTCTGGGTGTCGCTCTGTGTAATGGCGAGCAAACAAGAACAATACTGTTGTTAAGAGACAATGTCTACTGCATGAGACTCAAGGCCTAACGCTCAAATTATTAACATTATTAACACCAACTTGCATTTGTTTATTAAAAAATACATTTCATTTTCTGTTAATACAACAACAGAAACGGAGAAACGAATTAAATACTTTATAGCTGGTGACTCAATACAATTTGTATCCTTACCTTGACGTTAGCAGTAATACAGTATAAGACACTTTGATTTTCTGCATTTGCTTAGCATGGTTTAAACTTAGAGTAAATCCTTGGACGCAGTTTTGCTTAAATCTTTGCAAGTATTTGACAGCTACTATAGCATCAATAAAAATTTTTTAAAAAGCTTCTCAAAGATATTGCTTGCAATAATGGGCTTCCCAACCCATTACAACTTCATGTTAGCTTTTTGACTAAGTCGCCATTTCATTGGTTGAGAAGTACTTGAAATGATCAAATCAAAATGTTTTCATCATTTTTCATTTCAATATTTGTGCTATGTTCTGAAATGCAAAACTAAGAAGTAAAATTGTGAATTAATACCATCGAAACTGCATATCTTGCCCAGCTAGTCAGCTACCATTACGTGAATCTGTATTTCATTTTTTAGACGAAGACTACTTAAAACCTTTGGGCAGTAATGTTGATTTAGCGCTTTCACCTTTCCTGACGATGTGCAGCCCATTAAGCGTAAGTGATGCAATCACATGAGCATCAATAGAAATTTTTTCACATTCCTTTTTATAATCATTCCGCCATTTTGTTTTTGTTTTCTGAATCAATCCGCACGAGCTTTGTTGAGTTGTTGTAAACATGCGGCACTTTTACTTTCATCGCATAAACGAAAGAGATCGTTGTAGCTAGGTGATGAAAAATATTTAACATGTTGAATATTAATGTTTTATGCAGTGCGGTGTTTGAAATTAAATGAGATATGACCTTCGCACTTAAAATGAGTCACCGTTGAGTCACCTGATTTTTTCAGGTCCTGAGACGATTGCTTAAATTGTCCAGCTAAGTGCGAAGGTCATATCTCATTTAATGTTGAATATTGGTGCTATTTGTCACAAATGACAAACAAACTCGCAGAAATCCACCGCGCACGCAAGTGGTGTTTTGCTAAGTAGAAAGCTCCAGAGCGCGCCAGCCGTTAGCTTGTTGTTGTAGTTCAGCGCCTTGCTAAGCCAACGGTCACGATGGTTGCGTAAAATATCGTCAGCTATGTCAAAGTGCAAATTAAATTACTCGCATTTGTTGTAAAAGCACACAAGTCTTTCTGCGTAAAATTGACAGCCGATTATGGAAAATGGCTGTTCTCCTGAGTTTGAACTTCGAAATAGAGGAAAATGGGCTTGTAAAGATTTGTCTTCAAATTATTAAAGTTTGTAATTTGTTACACCAAATTTCATTTATATATGTCTGCAGTCTGGGTTTTTTATATACTCAGGTGTCCATTCAACGAATGATCAAATTACAAAACCAACATTTTCCATATGACAAAGACATTTGTTCCCTGCAAAGATGGTTTTTTCTCATCTATAGATAATTATCAACACAATATTTCAAGACTGTTGTGTCCTCGATAGCAACAAATGAACAATGTGGAAATTTCGCAGCAGCCATTTTACTGTATGTATGTTTGTGGTTGGCCTTATCGTTGCACTTGTTCAAATCCTTATGATGTTAAATCGTGCTTATTACAAAATTCACACATTAACTGAGGAGAAGAACGCATTGACGTCCCGACTAAGAACACTGCAGGCATTGGATTATGCCAAAGAGGCGAATCAATCTAAACCATTGTCTACGACAATGTTTCCAAGACTCAATAAATGGCACGCAAATAAATATTTCGATGCAACGCCGTACGATAGCTTTACTCATCAGAAAGTATTCAGTGTCAATAAAGATGGTATCTACTTCCATCCTTCCAGAGTAATCGGTGGAGAGCGCTCCGAAGAACACAAAGAGGTTTTGCTTTCGGCTGTGGATCTTGTGAACAAAAAATTGATAACTCATAAAAAAAGTGAACGTGTTTCTAGTGTTCACCTGGTGAATGGCATAAGTAAATTAGATCGCGCTAATGGAATGGAATATGATCTTATCTTTAAAATAGGCAATACAGATCAATATGAAAGAGTTAAAGTATATCGTCCCTATAAAGATATGGAGTTTGGACAGAGCATTGAAAGTTTTAGCACTTTGAAGCAACGAGTAAACGTTATAATTCCGTTGTCTGGCAGACAAAGGGAATTTAAATTATTTTTAAAACATTTTGGCGAGTGCTGTTTGCAACGTAATGTTTATTTAACAGTAGTGTACTTTGGTGATGATGGCAAACAGGATGTAAATAGCTCACTCAAGGAGTTCGAAAGGCAAAAGCAATTTCATAACTATGATTTAATTTTCGCAAAAGGCCCCTTTTCTCGTGGCATAGGCCTGCAAACAGGTGTTCATTCGTGGAACAAAGGAAATGACGTAATGTTCTTCTGTGACGTTGATATGCATTTTGACGCTGATTTCTTGGATCGATGTAGATTTTACACAAATCCTGGTAAAATGGTCTATTTTCCTATTGTGTTTTCTTTATATAATCCGGACACAATTTATACTAATACACCCAACATAAAGCAACAGTTGAATTTACAAATAAAGACCGGATATTGGCGAGAAACTGGTTTTGGAATGGCTTGTATCTACAAAAGCGATTTCATGAACACAAAAGGATTCGATACATCGATTAAAGGTTGGGGCGGAGAGGATGTTGGATTATACAGAAAACTTATTAAGACAGACATCAGAATCATAAGAGCTACGGATCGAGGATTGTTTCACATTTATCACCCAAAAAAATGTGACCCAAGTTTACCACAATATTTATCATGCTTGACTGTGAAGGTTAGATCCGAAGGTGCACATATGCAAATGAGTAGATTAGCTTTTGGCAATAGCGTATTTAGCAATCAACAACCGGACTGGAAAACAAAGCTAAAAAATATAAACTATAGACAAAAGATCAGTGAACTCGCTACTGCAGTCGCAGATATGAAAAGTCTTAAAGCTCGACTCGACATGATAGAAAGCTCGGCGAAAACGAAAAATAAGAAAAACTTGTTTGGTCAGAACAATTTACGAGAATTAAACAAAAGTTTGGAAGGTGTTATAAACACCGTTAGAAAACTTTTCTTAGTGGCAACAAATGTTACCAATAACAATTAACAGTTAACCGTTAAAACGTTTTTTGTTAGCTTAAGTAAAATAGGCAAAAAGTTACTATGAAGGAAATAAATTATTTGTTTTAAACAACTTGTTCTTCAAGTGCGGTATAATCCGTCTCAGAATTCATGATCTTATTCTCTGGCTATGGCTTTGAAATAATTTTTATATGTTATCATGCATTATATCACTGCACTGCTATGTATATAGTAAAATCTAAAACTGGTCTGCTTTTGTATAGCTAAGCATTCTTTAACAAGTTCAGTTCCTTTATGACGAAGAAAAATAAAACACCTCAACTTCATCAGGTGTGAAATAGTAGGACCCAGCTAATAAAACTTGTGTTTTGGTGCTATTGAAAGAATAACCATTTGGAAGCCTGTAAGAATATCCAAATTTGCCTGTGTGCGATTTGAAATTAGTGTTGGCGTCATTGGAGATATGCAAATCATGACCATTTCCAAATATGGGTCCCACCTGTTTGACTGTGTACATTGCTTTATTTCGACGAACAACGTCAGACTTAAACGGTGGAAGATTATCCTTGTTTTTCATAGAAAATATGAATGATTCTTCAGCTCTTATAAAACGCTTCATTCCTGAAAATAAAAATAGACAGCGAATAAAAAATTATGCAGAAAGTTTATATAACTTACTTTAACTGCATTTAGATCTGCATTTTCGACTTACTGGTTTTGACTGTTCGATTTTTGCATAATATCCAAATTATTCAGACCTTTTGACAGTTGGTGATTGGACTGGTGATTTTTCTACTCAATTATAGAATCCCAATCACCTTCAAAAATATTGTAGAAGCTTACCTCCCCATGATTCTGATGCAAATCCACCAAACACATAACTTCCAACTTTTACAACAACCAATGTTGGTCCTTTAAAATCACAGAGACTGTGAAATGTGGTTGCCTTCCATCCATTTACTGTTGCTTGGTAACAGCGCATTGTGTTTTTGTCTTTTAAGTGCGAAGGAAGCCATTTTTTAAGTCGAAAGATCCAATTATATTCACCATTTAAAATGCATGATTTAACCAGAAATTTTCCCTATTTTAAAACAAATTTGCACAGTAAAACATCCAGAGCGCGATCAATTGCTCAATGTTATTGCTCTTTTACGTTTAGTTAATTTTTGTTTTGACAGCTTTTTCTCGATTTTCCCCCCGCATAAAGTCCTACTAAGAACAATCTAGGTAATCTTTCAAGAAAAAATCTTTAACGTGGATTAACGAATTTGCGATTATTAGGTTTTAGCTTGATTTAATACTTGGCATGAACTTTGAGATACGGTGTTAAACTTACAAAAATTCATATAAGAACAATTACGTTATTATTTTGAACATTCACCATGGTATTTGCTCTTTTTGAAACATTTTTTTCAAATTTGCAACCACGGCAAACTCTCTATTTTACTAAACATCATACCGTCAGAGATTGAAAAAAAGCCCATTTTCCTTTGGGAGCTGTGTTTCTCAAACTTTCGTTAAATGTTGTGTTGCTTGTTTGGCAGTTTATCGTAAATTCTTTTGCCATATAAAGAAAGTTGAAGCTAACACATTGCTTCTGTTGAAGACATTCCATAGAACATTCCATGAGATCGTTTGCAGCATGACTTGAAATGATGTCTTTTGTTGCTAAAGTATCACCTTTAAAACAAAGAATGTAATACAACAGGTGCTTCGGCGCCTTTGATACCATACGTCGGATAGTTTGAAAGCGCGTATGAAACTTTCCTCGAAAAACGGAACAAATATTTTGCATCCACGCATCACACTGTTGCAAAATATAATCACAATAAATTTCCCTTTGAAAATGCTCATTGTAAAGCATGAACAAAGATCTTTGGCAATAATTTCATTCCCAACAGCTGCGGCTGTTTAGAAATAACATATATGCAGTGCTGTAGAGCTAAATTTATCAGATGGGGGGCTCTCTTGACGTAGCTGAAGCCATGAAATTATGAAAAATTACCCATTTCAAAGGTAGAAGGAGGGCTCCTCCCCCAAGCGCCCCCCAACTTCTACAGCACCGCATATATGTATAGATAATAGCGAAAGCGAAATTATCCAAATCATTTAGTTAGTCAATGGTTTGTACAAGTTTTATTTGTACTGTATGCATGCTGTTATTTCTTTTCCACGCATAGTGCATGTTACATATTTTTGTCTATCTTAAGGATATTATTCTATACAAGTAATTGTTTTCGAACCATGCTATGTGTTTCTCACTTGTGCATGTTTGCACAGCCACAAAAATCCTCCTTGCTAAGCACAGATATTTCTAACCTTTATGTATCGTGGTTTAGTTAAAAGCTGCCTGTTTCCTATAGCTAAATATTTTATTCTTTTTTAAGCATTTCTATTTTGAACAGAAGTAAAATATATTCGTATGAAAAGAAACTATGAAATGATCTTAAAACCACCTATATACCATTCCCAAGACTATAAAGAGAAGATGTAACCAGCGCAAATTCGCAGGCAAGGTTTTTACTGAAAGAGACAAAAACTCGTAAAATTGACTCATGCATGCAACTTTCAGTTGCATTTATTAATTGTGCTCAAAAAAATTAAAATGAATGTCAGAAGTCCTTAAAATATAATTGAAGAGAGGTAAATTCCCCGTTACAGCTTTTGCAACTGATGTATAGCCCTAACACTTACGTATCTATATAAAAACTTCATAACTCATGGGATTTAATATGCAGACTTTTCGGAGATATTAGTTACATACAATTTGTACTTACAGTTCTCTTTCATCTTTCTGAAAAGACGTTGGTATGCATTACATGTACAAACAAACACATAAATCGCAAAAATTTGTTTACTGACCATTCTTCGTACAAAAACGATGACACTTTATGTTAAAAATGCATATCTCACCGTTGTTGCATAGCGCCATGAATGACATAATAACAATACAACAAATGATATAAAAGAGATATATTTGGTATGAAAAATCTAATTAATATTTCACAAGTTTGTAACTACTTGCTAAAATTTCTTCATTTCGTAATACATAGCATTTCATGTTCAATAATTTATTATACCACCAGGATTACATTATGAGCAACACACAAATTACTTCAATTTGTTTTAGATCTATGGTGTAAATATTTTCGTTACTTTCATTTTACTTTTATAGACTTTTACGACATTTTTGCATAACTTTGTACTTAACAGTGGGCTTCAAAATTCTCTTTTTCTACATATTGCTGCTTCAATGCATTTCACACAGAAAATTTTGCTCCAAATGTGATAAAAATAAATTAAAATTTTGAAAGGTTTTTTTTCAAACGACGAAACTAGCTAAATACATAAAAAAATTTCGGTTCGTGCAGTAATAAATATTTTAGTGTTACAATTTCTTCAGTCATACATAGATTGTTCTTACATGGAATTACCTATTATTAAGTCGTTGCTGTCTTTAAATGTATGTATTTTTGCATGTTTATCTATAATTGTACTGAACACTATACCAATACAATTTTAATTCAGTCTTTCACTCTCTAGACTTCTGCTTCACTCGTTCTTTTCAGTCTTGCTCGCTCTGCAGCAAAAATATATGACTGCATGCCAACATGTACGCGCTGCGCACCAATTTTCTAAACATTTATAACGAATCTCAATCATTAACCATAATACAACACCAAGTACTCTTTTATTGTTACAACTTTCATTTGTTCATGGCATTTCACTTAAACTAAATGATGTTGAAACCCGTTGAATCGCAATCTTTGTGACGAGGATAAGTTCCACAATCCACATTACTGATTTGCTAAGAGTATCGTGTATGCAAGGTCCAGCAAGGAGTCAGTTATGTTTTGATTATTCAAATGGTTCAATGGCACATTTCATGTCATAGCTTTCAACTGACAAAGCTGTTCAAAATATAAAGTAAAACTAAATTCACGATAGGTAAGCAGTTGATCATATGATATTCTGCCTTATGGCTAGTAGTAATTTATTATTGTAATCATTCATGTAATGTACTGAATGGTGGCAGTGTTACACGTATAATATTGTTTAATTATTGAGGTGAACTGTCTTACTTGCCCCATCCATTGTTGAACCAAAGAAATATAGCTGGACCGTGGAAGTCTGGGACTGGCCACTTTAATGTTTTTTGTTTCAAAACTTGATTCATATCTGAGCTTCATGCTGTTTAGTTAAGATTTATTTGTAAACTTTAATTTTTAACTCATGAATCGCATTCCTTCAGTTTGAAGTAACACATCACATGGACTTTCAAAACCATTTAATACAAGAACAGGTATGTATGAAGTTGTGTGATTATGCATTGCATGAAGGTTGCTACTAATATGGTTCACAACTTTAAATCGCACATCAAGCACAATACTGTACTGCAGTTTTGTTACAGTAGCTTCCCACTATATATTTATCAGCTAAAATTGGCTTTGTTTGGGTTCTGAAATTTAATTAAAAAAACTGATTTACGTTTCCTAAGAATGTTGTTTTAGCAGGAACAATTGCTTTTACTTGTCAAATATTAAAAGACCTAGGGAAAATCTGCAAGAACTCGGGAGTAGACCATTACTTTATATTTGCAAAATAGATTGAAGAATAGGTTCATCTTTTCTGTACTTGTTGGCAACATGCAATATATTTATTACCTATGGTCTTTAACTTACATTTTTTTACCACAAACATAGCATATCGTGCAAACAACAAAAGTCATTCTTGAAAAGAAGATTTCCAGTCGTGTATTGAATGAGAAAGAGGTACGTATGCACAATTGTCATGCTTGATCCCGTGTGTTGAATGAGAAAGAGGTACATATGCACAATTGTCATGCTTGATCCACTAGACTTACTTCATTGGTAGGCAATAATTTATTTATGTATTATATTTAAAAATACGTCACACAACCAAATTGCATATTGCATATTTAGTACAAATTAATCGGGTATATTTAAACTTGATAATTAATACATGTAATCTGCAATGTACAATGAGTGACTGTTTCCCCTTACTAGATGTCAGGTCTTGTTTTTCAGTCTTGGTCGTAATTCATAATCCAATGTTTCATTGATTTAAAGCCTTGGTGTTTTGCCATGCAAGTTACCTGTACCTCTCTTTTATCAATAAAAAGTATGCTTTGTCAGTCTTTTTATGCAATAATCATCCTCTCTTCCATAGTTAAAAATATTGGCTATATCTTTTGTTTAGATTAGTATAGAGACAAGTGTTTTTTTTTGTTTATTTCTCAATGAAAAAGTGGATGTACAGTAGATCTGAGACCCTGAAAATCATCCAGAATAAGTCTGAATACATTAGAGCAGCTTATTATAAATAAAAAGAAAGTTTGAATATATCAACAAAGCCTTTGTGTATAAATTTGTGGTTATAAGCAAGCTATTTACTCCGAAATTAGTACAAGTAGACCCAACGGTCCTTGGCATGACAGTGAACAATTTGTCAAGTGGACTGCATATGCTCAAATGCAAGTGCAGATAATTTCGTAAATAATTGATGACCAAGCAAGTTAAGAGATTCAGTTTATCATTGGTCAGACTCAGATCAACTGTGCACCCTCAGTTGATATCTTTGATAATAAGTGATCAAGTGAGCCAGTTACATTGAAATTCATGCAAATGTACGCATTGATGATTTGTTTCTATTACATAGTGTCATCAGATTTGTGAACTTGACGTGTTATGGAGAAAATGTTGTGAAGCCAGCTCTGTCACTTCTTTGGCTGCTAGTGAAGCATTGATAACTCTAGTTGCTCAAAATGTTTTAGACATCAAATATGTTGTCTGCGGTTTTTTGGATCAAATAATTTCATCAAAGTACGACGATTTCTATGCTTTTGTTGTGTTTTAAACAATATTAAAGTTACATGTCCGTAGATGTAGATCGTCGAGGTTAGTAGAGTCCTGGTAGTGATCAGGTTGTCGAAACGTCAGTCAAAAACAATAAAAACAGTCCTTCTCAGGACTATACCAACCTGGACGATCTACATCTTCAAACATGTAAAGATACTCCCGGGTTCAAACCGTTCACTTTAATATTAAAGCTACTCGTCATTTTCCACGTCATTCTCGGCGAATATTCTTGGGTTCAAACCGTTCTCTTTAATATTAAAGCTACTCGTCATTTTTCCCGTCATTCCCAGCGAGTATTGCGTTATAATGACAACACTCGCTAGTTGTTGAAATAAGTATTGTTACACTTGCATGTTTCTTCTTCTCGTATGTTGTTGTAATGATCTGAAAAATAGAATGAATACCTTAAAATTTCTTAAGGTAAAAAAGCAAACGACAAAATGGTCATGAATTCATAAGAAAACGTGAAGATTACCTTTCTAAATGACCAAATTGTAAAAACAATAAGTAGTTTTCTCATGGAATTACCCAATTTTATGACGAGAGTAGAGGAAAGTGTTCTTTTGTTGCATGTTAAAAATCTTCCAATATTTGCTTCAGCCAGTCTTACAATTGCAAAAATATTTGCCTACTGAGAGTTTAAGGATTTTTTTGTCCTCTTTTCAAATTAATTTTGCTGTTGTTTATACGTATGTTATCAATCTGATTGTACATGATACGTGTATGTATATGAGTTGAAGCATACAAAGTGAATATGTCTTATAGAAATGTTCTTGGAGTTATTCATGGTATAACTGAAATTATCTGCCTTCCGACAAAGAAAGGCACCGAGCCATATCCTCTAAGGTTAGTATAAATTTTATTGAAAATGTTGGTTATTTTAACCCAAAAAAACTCCCGTGTCTTCCGTGTCTGTGTAAGTTGGGGATTTGATCTATGTGTCTATGGTTGATCATTTGTTATCCACATGTATCCACGGGTGTATAATTTGTGTTGTTTAGGTATATCGTATGTTTGATCATTTGTTATCCACATGTATCCACGGGTGTATAATTTGTGTTGTCTAGGTATGTCGTATGTTTGATCATTTGTTATCCACATGTATCCACGGGTGTATAATTTGTGTTGTCTAGGTATGTCGTATGGTTGATCATTTGTTATCCACATGTATCCACGGGTGTATAATTTGTGTTGTCTAGGTATGTCGTATGTCTGATCATTTGTTATCCACATGTATCCACAGGTGTATAATTTGTGTTGTCTAGGTATATCGTATGGTTGATCATTTATTATCCACATGTATCCACGGGTGTATAATTTGTGTTGTCTAGGTATGTCGTAGGTCTAATCATATGTTTGGAAAGTGTATTATATTTATAAGTTTATTAAAATGTGTTATCAAGTCCACGTATGTGTGATCTATGTATGGTTGTAAATTGCATGATTTCGCTGCCAGGATTTACTCCCTTAAATTTTTTTTAGTTTAACTTCCCATCCGTATGTAATTATTTTGAAAAACAAATTTGAGACATGGCCTTTGCTCATTCTTGAACTTGAATGCGTATTCCAAAGAAAGAGGTAAGATTTTGCCAGCTTCAATCAGCTCTGCAGCACTAGTGGATATGAATTTTGTCACAATGATGTCAATTTTCTTCAGCCCGATGGTAAAGCTACTTAAAACATTTGAGGCGTTCTTTCAATACGTGCTATATAACACGAAACCTGACCTCTGCGCATGCCGCAATGTCTATTCTCTTTTGCTGGAGATCATACCACAATCATTACGACAGAAAGATGACGTCATCGCTGTGGAAATTATAATGAAGCTTCTAATTAAACATCTTAAGTTGTATAAGGTGAGGCTTTAAGATGTTGGCCAAAAATCAACTGCCAATACTTGGGATCGTGCATTTTGAGACGTACGTACTCTGACTGCACCGGTAAAGCTCCTTTACTGTTTATGAAAATTGTAATACGTTAGTTTTTAAGCTTGAAAGGAAAAACCGATATTATATGAATGATGATGCTTTTCTAAGTATAAATTTAATAGTAACCGAGTGCTTTAACAAAAAAAAAAACAAACCGACGATCATCCCTCTCGTAAATATTTATCGACCATTTTTCAAAAAGTGTGGGGTTTGCACACCTTGCAACCACCTGCTCCGTACACACCCTGCAACCACCTGCTCCGTACACACCTTGCAACCACCTGCTCCGTACACACCCTGCAACCACTTGCTCCGTATACACCCTGCAGCCACCTGCGTACACACCTTGCAACCACCTGCTCCGTACACACCCTACAACCACCTGCTCCGTACACACACTGCAACAACCTGCCACACACCCTGCAACCACCTGCCACACACCCTGCAACCCACCGTACACACCTTGCAACCACCTGTTGCACACCCTGCAACCACTTATCCGTACACCCTGCAACCACCTGCCTGCACACACCTTGCAACCACCTGCTCCGTACACACCCTGCAACCACTTGCTCCGTACACCCTGCAACCACCTGCCTGCACACACCCTGCAGCCATTGCACCACCCTGCAGCCACCTGTCCCTGCAACCACTTGCCCATACACCCTGCAGCCACCTGTGCCATAACGTTGCGCACCTTGCAACACCTGCTGCCACACCTGCAAATACACCCTGCCACATCCGTAACACCTTAACCATACCGTGCGCACACCTGCCACCACAATCCTTGCCACCGCACCCTGCGCCACCCATACCTTGCACCATGCCTGCACACACCCTGCAACCACCTGCACACACCCTGCACCACCTGCGCACACCCTGCAACCACCTGCCGTACACACCCTGCAACCACCTATCCGTCTTGCAACCACCTGCCTGCACACACCACTTGCCTGCATACACCTGCCACCTGCCTGTACACACCTTGCAACCACCTGCTGTACACCTTGCAACCACCTGCCACACACCCTGCAACCCTTGCCTTATACACCCTGCAGCCACCTGCCTGCACACACCTTGCAACCACCTGCGTACACACCTTGCAACCACCGTACACACCCTGCACCACTTGCTATACACCTGCAGCCACCTGCCACACCTTGCAACCACCTGCCGTGCACACCTCCACCTGCAACCCTGCGCCACACCTGCACACCCTGCTGCACCACCCTGCCAACCACCTGCCCCACACCCTGCAACCACCTGCTCCGTACACACCTTGCAACCACCAGCTCCCTACACACCCTCGGAAACATACTTTCATCGAGACTTGGGGGCTAACACACCCTGTACCCACCTCCACTGTACACTTCCCTGAAAGCATGCTTTAATTCTTTTTATACCTCCAGTTTTCCATTTAGTGTTTTACGTGTTTGTTCACCTAGCATCATGGGTTTGAAATAAAGTATGTGCTAAATAAAGAACAGTATGATCAGATTTTGATTTGTGTTGTTTTGTTTTGTTTTGAAAGTATAAAATTGGTGAAGAGTCAATATTTTTCTTGCCATGAGATTCTTGCGGAAGCTTATGATTTTCATTGATGTTTTATTTATCATTGTTTATTTGACTCATGAATCAATTATGTTGATTAGTTACTGATATATTGTATTAATATTTTGTTCAATGAGCTTACATTTGCCTATTATTGCGTTTAGATGAATATCCAGTCAATTGGTCACCGTGTTTCGCTGTGTCAGCAAACGTTACGTTTGCTTTTAAGAAATGACGTCATGGCTTTTAGTAAGCAATGTTTATCAATATCTTACAACATAGAGGCAATTAGCTACTTATTTGTTTTTGGGAATGGGAAACGCACTCAGCACACTGGGAAGAAGTAATTGAGAATTTGCTACTGTCGATAGCTTGCAATGACAAATCTAGCAGTATCAATTTTTAAAACAATTCATCTTGTGTGAAGAACAGTGCATTGAGTGCAAAAGTGCCATCGAGTGCTTCCTTGAACCCACAAGAAGAACTACGTCTGCAAAAATGATGCATTTTCCAAAACACCATGGGAAAATGTTGAACCAAGTACATCTTTCACTTTTGATAAGAGCAATACGAAAATCTTATCCGCGTAATGCAAAAAACTAATTAGAAATCTGCACGGTGAATTCACTTCTTATGCGTTTTCATCAATTGCTTGGTTTGATGATGTATCACCCTTCTTCCTCCTCACTCCAGTTATAAAATGAATGCATCTCAGATCAGATGCATGTTTTCCATATGAATATCTTTCCCCGTTGATATCATCCTCGTAAAGTACATTTTCTAAATAATTGAGTGTAGAATTTTTAATTAAGTCATCCAACAATAATTATCTAAAATGTTGGATTGTATGGAAAATATTTTAAAACGATCTTATGTTGCGTTTTTTCAAATTTTTGCTTGAATTTATTTCTAGAAGAATACGCGAAGATGTTGATGCTGTTGTTTATCGAAATAGCTGATAAACAGCACTCCTTATGTATGCCAATGACGTCATCCCTTGTTTTATTGAAAACAGCTCTGCTCAAAATGCCTTCGGTAATGTCTTAATATATTGTTGTTTTAATAAAGCAAATTAGAATTGTAATATATGATGCATACATTTCTCACATTTTAAATAAGTGATATTTCTTCAGAGAAATTGCTTTAAGTCAACTGTTTTGAGACGTGTACCACGTGCTGCCGTAGCTAGAGAGAACATGGTCTGATTTATGTAGCAATTTCTCGGTGACTTTTAAAATGCGTGCGCCTAAAATTATTGCAACACTTTGACTATTACCTTATTGTAGCTCTCTATATTATTCCTCCATATACAACTCTTCTATTTCTCTATAAAATATAACTCTTTTATTCCTCTACAAAATATAACTCTTCTATTTCTCTATAAAAAGCTCTTCCATTCCTCTGCAAAATACAACTCTTCTATTCCTGTATATACAACTCTTCTATTCCTCCACAAAATATAACTCTTCTATTTTTCTAAATATAACTCTTCTGTTCTTCTAAATATAACTCTTCTATTCTTCTAAATATAACTCTTCTATTCTTCTAAATATAACTCTTCTGTTCTTTTAAATATAACTCTTCTACTTCTCTATATACAACTCTTCGTTCTATTCCTCTGATTTTCTCCATATAATCTATGGAGAAAAAAGAAACGTGTTGAGTAATAATGGAAGCATTTGACGTTTGTATTGCTTCGGTTGATAGTAGTTTTTGTGCACTTTATACGCAGTTTTTTTATCCTTCGTATTTTCTATTTTATTTAGATAGCACTTGAACTTGGCTGTTTATTTTGGATCTCTCATTTTATGTTGACGTGTTCAAAACTTTATGTTAAAGATCTTCTTGAAATAAGTAAGTATATTAAAGCTCTATGACGAATTTGACATATCTTTGGAAATCCTTCGTTGTGTCATTCATTTTGAATTGAAATAAAAAAGTTTCAACCAACTTATGTCTAGTAATTAGATCTTAACTTCGAAGTTTCAAACATTTAGTTATGGCTTGGGACCAACGTCTGTTTTTTTTTACTATGAATTGCAATTTAGCAAAGGAGTTACCACATTTTAACTTGATGTTTTTTTGCACACATAAATTTTGTTTTTTAATAAATTTTAGCATCAAGTATAGTCGAGTTCTTTTCATCTCGTAATGGTGGAGAAAAGCAGAAACTGGCTTTCTTTGTTTTGCCTTTACTTCAAATCTTAGCCTCATCAAAGCAAACCAACAATGACGACAGTTTAAATAGTTCACTCCTTACAAATATTTTGAACAAAGTTATGCATACCTTGGAAACTTGTCCTTCCGGTGATTATCCAGAAAACGAGGTTCAATGTTGTTTATTTGTGTGAGACAAATGTATTACAAACCGTTTGTTTCTCTTTTTGAAGGATTATAAGTGATTTGTATCTTCTTTTTGGTTTTGCTTTTGTTTATTACACTCTGCTCCTCTCTGTACCCCCGTGTACATTTAATTTAGTGCGTTAACTACCATTACAGCTACAGTCATTTGGTTTACGTTTGGAAAAATGTTGTTCATGTGAAGAGATTTTTACACTTTTAAGCTCCAGGTATTTACATTGAGATTCTTTACACACTTGTAAGCTCCAGGTATTTACATTGAGATTGTTTACACACTTGTAAGCTCCAGTATTTACATTGAGATTGTTTACACACTTGTAAGCTCCAGTATTTACATTGAGATTGTTTACACTCTTGTAAGTTCCAGGTATTTACATTGAGATTGTTTACACATTTGTAAGCTCCATGTATTTACATTGAGATTGTTTACACACTTGTAAGCTCCAGGTATTTATATTGAGATTGTTTACACACTTGTAAGCTTCAGGTATTTACATTGAGATTGTTTACATTAGTTTTTATAACTCTGCTCCGTATAGATTTGATACAGTTTTTTTCATGACTTTCAATTTTCCAACTTTCAGCAATGATCCAACAACGCTTTTTAATTGGTTGAAATTTTCCCACTTTCAGCAATGATCCAACAACGCTTTTTATTTGGTTGAAATTTTCCCACTTTCAGCAATGATCCAACAACGCTTTTTATTTGGTTGAAATTTTCCCACTTTCAGCAATGATCCAACAACGCTTTCTAATTGGTTGAAATTTTCCCACTTTCAGCAATGATCCAACAACGCTTTTGAATTGGTTGGAATCGGTGAAATCAACTCTAGAAGAAGGAAATTTGAAAGAATTGAGTTTTGTTTCCTTGCTTCTCTCAAGTTTCCTCGTTACCTGCAATGACTCGCAAGCAATTCATATTCTTGATGTGATATCGTTCATTTGTAAAGTAGATTCTACTCAGGTATCTCAATGACTGGTCTGTACTTGTTAAAAATTTCTGTCTTGTCTGTCGATATGAAGTACTTTTCGTTACAACAAGGATAGCGTCATACTATATTAGTGACAAGATTTTAATAAAATTTTATTCAAAAGGTTGTACAGAAATGCTCAGTTCACTGTTTTTTTGTCCTGTTTGAAACGTACTTTACAGAACAGAATTTTTCAACACCACCTTCTTTACCATTCGTACAGGTTAAAAATAAAAGTTTTGGTCGATGTACAACAAAGTTGATTGCTTTTGTGTCTTTTGAAAGGATTCCTACTCTTGAATTTATGATAATTTAACTATTCGAAATGAAATCTTAACTGCAGTGAACTCAACATAATGAAAAAGAAATGTTCATACTCAATAGGAAAGCTTATTGCATGCTGAAAATGATAATTTAATTAATTTTTAGGCTCCATATTTTTTCCCATTGATGCTTTTTATGTTGGAAAAATCAAAATCATCAGAAGTGAAGTTTCATATATTACAGACCATACCGAGGCTTACAGTCCACCAGGTTTGTTGTTGATGTTTGGTGTGTACATTTGTTACTGTCTCCCTCCCCTCCCTCCGTCAAAGAAGGACTATTGACTCTGACCAAATGTTTGGTGTGTACATATGTTGCTCTCTCCCTCCCCTCCCTCCGTCAAAGAAAGATTGTTGACTCTGACCAAATGGTTACAGTTAAATGTAATTTAATTTAAAATTCAGCTATTGATACATTTTTAGATATTTTACAAATACAGCTATTGATACTTTGCTTTATCGTGCTTACCGTTTGGTCTGTTTAATGACATTTTTTTAAATTTGATAACAGTCCTTCATCGCCATAAAGTTAAGGACATTTGTGATTTCATTGATTTCGTTGATCGTCTTTGCCAAATATCTGTGAAAGAAACAGCGAGACAACATGACGCCAATTACTGGTCACTTTGTTGTATATCATGAGAGTTTTAATTATGAAAATGCAATTTTTGCAAACAGCTTTCTTAAAATTAACTTAAATTTGATCCGTTGCATTTGCTGTTCAATGTTCGTACTTGTACATTTCAGTATGAGAGGTTTTTTCCACTTAATATTTCCATCAATCACTTTGATAAGAAAATAAACCTTAATTTATTTAAATTTCTTAAATTTAGGATTATCTTTCATATTTATACGTTAAATTACATTGTATTATCTACAGATGTGTGTGAAATATGCTTTGGGTATACTGTTGGCTTTGAACAACAACTTCGAATTGAAAGCCATAACTGTTAGGTTGATGTACAAGCTATGGCTGTTTCAACCACGAGTGTATCCACAACTCTACAAGTTACTGCAAGATAGACCACTCTCTTTGAATGCAAAAGCGTTAGAAGAACTTCAAGTTTCTAAAGCTGTAACCATTCGGGATATTTGTAGAGAAAGGTATACTGCTTATGATTTTGCCATTCGTTTTTTAAAAGCGCCTATTGATGTCATAGTTATAACACATCATTTAAAAGTCATACACTATTCTCCATCCAGTAAAATATGTTGGCTCTCTTAAGAAGGAGCTCTTCACTTTTTTTAATTGTTAGACCCGGTCAACATGGCGAAGATCTTTTTGGATTGATATCTGCCATAATTCATGAAAGTGCTGGACGCCAATCCACAGTCAATGTTGTGTTGTCGTGTCTTGCATTGGAGTCTCTTACTACTCTAGTTGAAGCTGAGGCAAGTCTTGTGTTGTCTGTCTGTCTCGGTCAAATTTTTTTCTTGTCCGAACGTCTATTTTGTCTGTGCTACTTCTGTTAGTTTTTTAACATAAAGTACTTCTTGCTTATCCTATTTTTAAATTGAAGGTTTTGAATCTCCCTACGACCTGGAATGCTCTTAGAGAAAAACTAGAGACAGATGTTCATCCCCTTGTGACAACTGCTGCTTGCTCAATGTTGTCATTTCTACCCAGTTTGAATGGTACAGCGGATTATGAGGTTTGTACTGCGTAGGCTTGCAAAGTTAAATTCATTATTTTATGAGTCAAATTTATCTGTACACTTGATATGTTTCATTTGACTTTATTTTTCTCGCTTAAAGATTTGACTCATTTTCCTTGAAAATTATATTTACTCAGATAGAGGGCTAACTGCTACGAAAGAAGTTAAACCAAGTTTTACGACAAAAATCTGCTTCTGCATCAATACAGTTTGCTAAATTGATAGTCTAGGTTTAGTTTTTGAAATATTTTGTCAGGATTAGTTTTTTGTATTAGTTTTTGCAAAAATTTGAAAATTTCGATTTTTGCAACCTTCCAAGATGGCGTCCTTACCTCACCTTGATACGGTTTTAGACATTTAGGAAATCGGGATCTAAATAATTTTTCCTCTCCATGGAATGCTCATGCAAGCTATTGGCAGTGGTGTTTATCATATGATATGTTATTTAACTGACGTGTCTTGATTGTGAGCTTAATTTTCTAACCTAGTTTATAAAGCTTGAACAACTTAATATTTCTTGTCATAGGGTTTTAAGGATTATGTACTAAAGTTTTTGTGGAAGCACGCTTTGGCTGAGGTATGATGTGCTGAAGGTATTTCTATAAACATTGATGAATTAAGGAAATACCTTGTATGAGGTCAGAGAAATAATCATACGTCACACTTTATCTAAATGCTTATTCTGTCTTTAAATGGTCTTAACAATGCTCTTACTATGAATGAGCTGCCTAAAAAGAATTGATTTTTTAAAATAAATCAGCACTTTCTTGTATTTTTATCTTTAGTTGACTATTTTGTAGAATATTGCCGTGTCAGATGCTTTAAATCAACACTTTCTTGTATTTTTATCTTTAGTTGAATATTTTGTAGAATATTGCCGTGTCAGATGCTTTAAATCAGCACTTTCTTGTATTTTTATCTTTAGTTGAATATTTTGTAGAATACTGCCGTGTCAGATGCTTCTTTCAAAGCTCTAGCCAATTTTAAATGCGAAGATTTTCTTATCAAACATCTACCTATTCAGGTTTGTAAATTGAATAATTAATAGTTTAAAAAATAATGATTTCGTTTAATAAAAATAAACGCATTTCATTGTGAGATGTTGTAGGCAAACAGTTGTGTATAGATATACATCGGCTAAAGGTGTGTGTGGGGGTGGGCTGTTGTCTTAAGGCGTTTCATGACAGATAACCTATTAATTAATGTCAATCCGCTATTAAGTTTTAAAAGACTTCAATATTTATTACAGAATCGTGTGCCAGTTATACAGTATCTAAAGGCCACACCAAAAATAGCGAAAAAAATTCGAGAAAGTCTAGAAAATAACGAGGAAATCGATTTTGAATCATATCCTATTCCTTCCTATTACTTTATTGAACTTATTGAAAAGAAAATGCTTTCTACATCATTAGAAATTTGTGAAGGTAAGAGTTCAATCAATATAACGAATGCAAGTTTTTTCGGCACTCTTCCCAATAATTATATATATTTCATAGTGACACTCAATACTGCTCGGCTGTTTAACTTGTGGCTTACTCTACCCCAACTCTAGCCGCTCAACAACGATAAACCTGCTTATGCCTTTTACATGACCGTAGAAAATGCGTTATCAATTACTTGGGTTAAATTAATTGACATGGAACGACCTGTAACAAGTTCATTTAGTGTACTTGTGTTGAACTTATGAATTGTTTAATTCTTTACTTTTCTATTCCACTTTATTCTGTAGAGAGAAAAAATTATGTAGTAGGGTTGAACTTATACATTGTTTAAAACTTTAATTTACTGAACCACTTCATTCTGTAGAGAAAAAAACATTATGTAGTTGAGTTGAACTTATGAATTCTTTAATACTTTACTTTACTGAAGCAATTTATACTGTAGAGAAAAAACATTATCACTGACAAAAGTGAAGCTAGCATTAGGCCTGCTATTTAAACTTCAGATCCTTGTTATGGTTTATATCTTTAGAAATCTATTGTTTTTAAATTGAGTGAACACATGAAAAATTTCATAGCATTACATAGCAAGTAATAGGGCTGACTTTGCCAATGATCATTGACAATGAAGAAATATTTTTTTAAAAGCCAAGGCACCATTTCATTTAAGGTTTTGAAGAATTTCTAAAGAACATTTTGGCCAATGAAGTTTCAAGAATTCCACGTGGTGTGTCGTACGACAATCAAAACGTGCCAACATTCGACAATAAAATGATGTCGTCTATTCCAGAGCTTTTAAAAAGGAAATACGACAATTGCAAACAGCCAAATCTGAAGGGTTTCCTTGCTGGTAAAATAGTATGACATATTGAGTTTTTTTACCGGAAAAAAAACGTCGTCAGCTTGTGCCCTTCTAGGGTTTGTCAAAATAATTATGGCCGCTAATTTTGGTTATTTTGAATTTCAGTAGATTGAAATCTTACAAATCATTGGCATGCTGCAGTTTATCTTGCCTAACGCTACACTCTCCACTTGTTCTCTATAGTTATGTCACTTATTCTAAAAATATTTATAAATGTTTCTTGATCAGTTTTACTGGTCTACTTATCTTAATTGAAAATTTTCTCGTTGAACCGAGAAATATACATTTTCATTTCCATTTGGCAATTTTAACAAGTCTATTTTTCATTTTGACAGTACGTACGTCAATAAAGATGATAGGGTTAAGACGCATGTCATCAAGAAGGATTAGAAGCTGGTCAATGATTTCGTTCAATGAAATTTTACAGGCTCGCTTCTTTGGACATACAACACCAGAAAAGAGAGCAGATCTGGGAGGGCAACAAGAAGTCAGGTTGTCAACGATATGAAATCATACCGTCAGATAATCAGTCATTTGATACAAGATGTATGTTTACAATAAGTTTTGATCTCGTTTTATAAAAATAATGGTTAAAGTGTATTAAGATCTTCCTGAGAACTCACGATTTTCCTAAACACTCACAACCTATATCAAAAATTTGTTACTTTACAAGAACATACGACATCGTGTTAGAATACTTTTGTCGTGCACCCGTTTGTATGATGAAAGTTTTATATTAAAGATTTAATGGTTAAAAATATAAAAAACATGTTATATGCAGAAAGTTTTCAATATAATTATCTTTGTAGCGTAGCTAGCTCGCAAATTTTGTTCGTTGAATTTCTCTAGAAATCTATTAGTTTTGCAGAGAATTAGTTAACACGGAAAATATTGCATAGCTGGACTAAGTAAGCCGACTGTTTACCTCAGTTTGAATATTTTGTCTCTGTCTGCTTTAACGATAACTGTGACTTTTCTATAAAGAAAATGGCCAGTAAGATTTTTCTTTTTGCCTTCAACGACTCCTATTTAGTGATGGTACCTTTAGGTAAATAATAGTTTGTCATTTTTTTGTCTCGACAGCGGTTGTTCACATAAAAAGAAATTTGCCTTTACAAAGATAATTGATGTCCACTATTAGAAAACTGGTTTTCTGCCTTACATTCATTTAGATTCCTATTAAATCCTCAGACTGGTTGTCAAATATTGAAATATCTCATGGTTGGACTGTTTTCATGAAAGGAGCTTTTGCTAAATTTGTTGAAGTATGATGATTGATTTTTTTTCGCGAAGTTTATCGAACCTGCATTGTGCTGTTTTCTTCTGTAGGGAAGAAAAATGGAGCTGACTTTGCAAAAAGAAAGGGAACATATAAATGAAGAAGCTTTTGTCAGTGGAATTCAAACTGCCTGGTTGTGGTCAGTTGATTTATGTAGTGTATAGTCTTTATCAGTAGAGTTCAAACTGTATGGTTGTTGTCAGTTTATTTATAGTGTGAAGTCTTTGTAAGTGGGTTTCAAACTGTATGAGTGTGATTAGTTGGTTTGTAATGCAAAGTCTTTGTCAACGAGGTTCAAACTGATTGGTTGTGATCAGTTGATTTATGTAGTGTATAGTCTTTATCAGAGGAGGTCAAACTGTATGGTTGTTGTCAGTTTATTTATAGTGTGAAGTCTTTGTAAGTGGGTTTCAAACTGTATGATTGTGATTAGTTGGTTTGTAATGCAAAGTCTTTGTCAACGAAGTTCAAACTGATTGGTTGTGATCAGTTGATTTATGTAGTGTATAGTCTTTATTAGTGGAGTTCAAACTGTATGGTTGTTGTCAGTTTATTTATAGTGTGAAGTCTTTGTAAGTGGGTTTCAAACTGTATGATTGTGATTAGTTGGTTTGTAATGCAAAGTCTTTGTCAACGAAGTTCAAACTGATTGGTTGTGATCAGTTGATTTATGTAGTGTATAGTCTTTATCAGAGGAGGTCAAACTGTATGGTTGTTGTCAGTTTATTTATAGTGTGAAGTCTTTGTAAGTGGGTTTCAAACTGTATGATTGTGATTAGTTGGTTTGTAATGCAAAGTCTTTGTCAACGAAGTTCAAACTGATTGGTTGTGATCAGTTGATTTATGTAGTGTAAAGTCTTTGTCAATAGACTTCAAACTGTATGGTTGTCGCGATAAAATACAGGAAAAACTTATGCTTGTACTTACCATAGTTTTTTTCTTTTTTTTTAGGGCACGAGATACTTTAACAGACATTCTAAAGCTTGGATCAATGTATGTGAAAGATACATTATCATTATTTTGACGTTTGAAACGTGCAAGCATTAACTATTTCTCGTGTTCTTAAGTTCATGTAGAAATAGAATATCTTCATGGTTGAATTACTTGTATTAACATCGATTCAACAATTAATTATCGTGTTGATATTCCTGAAATCATCATGACTATAATTTGATGCTTCTTTAAAACATTAAATCGTTTGTTTATTAACGTAGCTAATATGTTTCTACAGTATTTCCGATTATTCGACGACCATGATAATAAAAAAGAATTGCTTAACAGCAAGAAATGATTAGAAATGAAATAATTAGTTAACACTGTGGGGATATTTAATGGTTGACAATGTGCCAGAAACATTAGATATACGTAGGTTACACAACAAAAAATAACATCATATTTAATAATGTAGTGGATCCTTCTCTTTCGTAATTTAGTGACAGCTTTGCATCGGTTAGACATGCTGTTTTTAAATGAACCAAGCTTTGGAGTGGATTAGTTATCACTATCTAACATTGATACAAGACAAAGCCTGATGAGTTCTTTTTGAACCTGTGTGTATAATGATCATCATGGATTGTTTTTTAGAGGCAGTCATGTGATGCAAGGCAATTCTTTGCTTGCTCTGGCGGGCTTGGTTGATTCAGTGGCGTCATTCAAGAACAAGCAAACAGTCCAGGAAAACCAACTGAGTTTCAACGACAGTTATGCTTGTATGGAAACCTGGTTAACATCAATTGCCGATCGTATGCTTGTGACACTTGATGCAAATGTTCAAACCAATGGACCTCCGATGCTATGGGGTCATCAGGTATGCTGTAAAGTCATCAGGTATGCTATAGGGTCACCAGGTATGCAATGGGGTAACCAGGATGCTATGGGGTCATCGGCTATGTAGCTTTAAAGCCAGACCAGAAAAATAAAAACAGGTGCATAAAAGTAGATTGGTTCATCGCTAGTTTAAAGAAAAACTGTGAATAGGAACAAAGCATCTTTCAATTGAGTGTCTTTTTTATAAGTTGTTTGTCAAAGTGTTGAAAATCAATTAGTGGGAAAAAAACGCCGATAAGAATAATATTAAGTTGAAATAAAAGCTGTTTTGAAAATGAAATATTTTCATCATTAAGGGTTTATCGATAACGTCATCAGCCTTGCTTGCAAGAGCTTGTGCTGCTTTTGGCTTGACGCACATCATTCCATCTTTACTTGAAGCTGATTTTTGTCGTTTGCAGCAAATTGTTGATATTTTAATACGTATGGCACGTGGTAAAGTTATGTAAGTTTACGGATTAATTATTCTTTCGAAGTAATTTTTGGAATCTAATGATTTCTAATTTAAATTGAGTCAATAAATAATATAACTTTCTTCAAAATTAAGTATGCATTTCCATTAAAGTTTCATTGTCCTGAAAAACATGACACCGAGATTGAATTCATAGTCGTATTTGTAAATTGCAGTTTGCTGTGAAACTTATATTTTGATGAAATGAACCGTCTCCATTTATCGAACACTTATCTTGTCTTCTTTCATACTAATCAGAAACACGTGACTGTCAATACATTGCTAATATGAACAAATTATTTGGACTTTTTTTCGTTGAAACACTCAGCTAGCTATGTGGTTTATGCCAATTTCAATATGCTTGGTTGTTAATGCACAATTATTTTCACTGTCTTTCACCGTGCATAAATTTAACTGTGTTATTTATTGACTCTTTACTTGGCAAATTGTTTGAAAAGTTTGTACACATTTCGTCTAGTAATTGTTGCACATTGGCTACACTGCACAGACAGGGTTGATTAAACAACACTCGCTCATAGCCGCATCTGTAGAGGGTTGCAACCATGGTCTGTGACTTTCCAAAGTGCGTTGTGCTTTGCGTTGCATAAGTTTGACAAAAATTTTGGTGCACGAACATAGCACGTAGGACATCATGTTTTATTAAACTTATCTTTTACTTTGCAAACTTTTTGTACACATTGCGCTTTGTGAATTTTGCCGATCGGGTAACTACCAAGTAAAGGGTATTTGTTGCCGATCGGGTAAGCTACCAAGTAAAGAGGTAGTGATTTAACTATTTTTATATTTCAGTCCTGGTAATTCTCTGGTCATCCATAACCATTCCTTCTTGGGACTAGGTTTGATCGTGCGAAAACTTTCCAATGAAGACATAAGGTAAACAAATAATTACACTGAATGCTGCCTTTTAAAACATTCATGTTTGCGTATGCAAAGCAACTGCTCTAATATAAATTTTGTACTAAATTTTCATGGAGTTTTGCAGTATTGTCATGAGTGGCGAGAATCTAAAATACATAGTGTAAACTTTCTGGGGATGAAGGGAATTTATGTTCGTCGTGATTTAATGTAGATAGTCAATCCATTGATCGTTTTATGGGAAGTGTTTTGCACACAACAGTCAATAAAGAGTTATGTAGTGAAAAATGTCAAATTACTGGTCAAAATAAAGTGTTTTTTGAAACTTTACACTATCCTTGGATCTCTAGTTTTTTTCTTTCATTGGACAACGTTTGATGACGTTTCTGTTTTAAAATAACTTTACACTTGTCTTTTAACATTTTTTCAATTATTTGAACATATTATCCTTCTCCTTTTTTAGTTCGTCATTGGGGCAAGAGGTGAGATAATACATGTTCATTATCGTAGTTTATCATTGTTTACATTTTTTAATGTAACATTTGTTACTAAGTTGTAAAAACAATTTATGTCATGTGAACATTACCCATGCATTCTTATCACCACAGCATAAACTTGAATTTTACGTGTGCCAAGTTCATTATGAAATAAAAACAATAAAACTTGGCTTATGCAAACCTCGGAGACGTTTGTGAGAACTCTTAAGCAGGTGCAACCTTTGACCTTCGGTCTCGGGCTTGCACTGATCTGCTATCATCGACTTTTCCCAATGTTCTCCTCGGTTTGCATAAGCCTGTGCAAACACAGTAAACATCTTTTATTTCTTATTTAATGACTTATGACTATAATATTGTTGAAAACTTCTTGAAGAATATTTTAAACAACGCAGAGCAGGCTGCTACGTGTATTGTGGTGTTTTATATGTTAACTTGAGGTTTTCAAACTAAGATGACCTTGACTGATCCTGATTCTGACTTTATACGTTGATGAAATTTAAGCCAAATGTTGGAATTCATTGAATCATTTTTCTATAATGTCTTCTTCATAAGCTGATGCTGGCTCGAACCACTAGTTAAAAAAATTGAATAACAAAATGAAGTTTCAACGGGATTCGAACCCATGACCTCTGCGGTGCCGGTGCAGTGCTCTAACCAACTGAGCTATGAAACAGTCTATGAAGTTTCATCCTAGGTGTTTGGAAATATACAAGAATGGGCTGCTGTTGTTTATTTGATGTTCCCTAGATTCGCCATTGTTCATAAAAAACAAAAGATATGGCCACTCAAATTTTTGCGATTCCAAATCCTTTAACTCAATGTTTGTTCTCTTGTATATAGGGTGAAATTTTGTTGACGAAATGCTTTGAAACATTAGAAATGGCTCCTGAATTGTTTTTGCAAAATAATATGTAAGTATTTAGATATTCTGCACAGGATTATCAATGTCGCAGTGGTTTCTGAAAAACACTGAACATTGTTTTTAGTGACATTTTGGTATCTAAATATACTTTATTAAGTTGCATGGTTGGGAGCATAAATGTGTTTAGTGCTTAAAGACTTAGCTGAGTTCGAGAAACCATCTTAACATCATGCGTCAAAATGGCCACGTGTTTTGGATAGAGTAATGAAAAATATGGAAACACCAAAGTCGATGATATTTTAATTATAAGCACAGCTATCTGGTATTGACGCTTTACAAGGAAAACTTTAAACTTATGCGCATGGCTTGTACCTCAATATAATGAGTGTTTCGTGTGTCTTGTAGTGATGGTGCTATTTATGCTTTTGCTCTGGGCATTGCATCGTGTTGTGAAAATACAGCAAGTCCAGTGCATTTAGCAGCGCAACAAGCTCATTTAAAGTTGGTGAAATTATTTGAGGAAACATTTTATGATATGCAACAGGAAAATTTAAAGGTGAATGATCAATTTGTTTTCGATTTGAGTCGAGTCATGTGTGTATCACCATATTTTACTCGGCTTAATGTTTAAACATTTACAATCGTTCACATTCACATTTACATGTTTTAATATTTATATAGATATGCAGCTTACTGTCAATAACTAACATATTTTGTTGTCATGTGACTGGATAACAATACGTGTCATTTCGATCTCATATATTTTAGATATTTTCACTTGCTTTGACTGTATCATCGTCCGGTATTATCAAGAAAAGTAATCCACTCGTGACTGAGAAAGTTATTCAACTCCTAAATCAAGGCATGGAATCAGCACCAGAGGTGAATTTGTGATGTGGAAAAATTGCCTATTCTGATCGTGAGATATTTTATCATTTCTTGGTCGATTCTGTGTTCGTTTACTTGTAAATAAGCTTCAAATTTTGCTGTTACCTAACTCAATGAATGAACTCAATATTGGCGAAATTTATCACAACTCATTTGGGAATTTTTTAACTCAACTCATTGGTGAATTTTATTTTTCTATGCGTCAGTTATGCACTAGTTCTTTAGCAAAACAGAAACGCTGCTTGATGTGCTTTAAATGCACGTTTACCACAGTGTGAAGGTGAAATTCGAATTACGTAGGCCCGTATTGTTTATGACATGGTCGACATTATCAATTTATTTTTTGTGTTATATTAGGAAAAATACGTGGAACTTTACTATGGTATATATTCATAGTGTAACCATGCATTCCTTTGAATTTGATGAACTTTTGATTTTCAACTCTAAAAAGGAAAGAAAAAGTATTTTCTTTATATTTTCTTTGTCTTTGTATTTTAGAGTTTTCTTGTTGCGTTCTCACTGGGAACGACGCTTTGCTATCTGAGGAGTAACGATAGTGAAATTATCTCGTCAATTTACAATAAATGGCGCGATCTTTGGTACACTATAGCCAAAGATCAGGTATGAACTGTTGTGAATGTACTTCAACTGCCGACAAAGTCGATCCTCGTTTAAGTTAGTTGAACATGGAGTCCGATGAAGGAAAACTGATTTAATTACTTGCTGGCATAGGTGCCAAAATCTTTCGAGTTTTCACGTAATTGTTTTCTAATTTGCAATAGTCATGCTCATCATTAGCAAGAATTTCATCAATTGGTGGAATTTCAGCATTACATGGATCCGCATGGAATCACGTGGTTTGTAGTCTTGTTTGGAATCATAACTTGCCTCTCATCATTCTCTTGTTTGCTACCCAGATCAAACGATTACTTTCTTAAATGTTTCAATTACGCGTGCTCGTTCCGAAAGTTACCTCAGCGTGAGGCAGTGTGGAAAAAAAACTTAACCATTAGAAATCTATTGCCTGGAAAAAATTTCCTTCTAAAGAGTTAAATGAGCAAAACGCTAACCGAAAGCAAGTTTTTTCTTGCGCTTTTCTTTACTTTAAAAAGTGTTTGAATGCACAATTACGAACAATTCGAAACTATAAGTTGATTCTATTTGAAACTATAAATTGAAACTATAAATTGATCGTGTTTGGGTGGACTTATCCGTGTTCAATTTTTTGAAAATAAAATTACTGCGAGATTCATTTTATGTAAGAAACTTATGAGCCAGTTGCTTTTTCCGTCTCATGCCAACTTTCCACCATATATTTATTAGATTGAATGGAATATGATAGAGAAAATAAATGTTGAAGATGGGGTGAAGCTATTAAAAGAAGTAAGTAATTGTTTGCTTTGTGTCACGTGTTTCTTAATTAATTTGATACATTTGACAGGGTATAAAAATTACAGCTTTGTGTGATGATATAAAACTATTCACTAAGTTGATTGATGTTATTTTACTTCATCTGTTTTAGCTAATTGGTTTGCCTGGTGATGCTAACGTTTCTGGAAGTATTTGCTGTAACCTTGCTCGTTTATACTTCGTTTACAGGAAATCAAAATCATTGATGTCCACAAGTAGGCATATAAAGTATATTTTTGACAATTAAATGTCTTTAGTGGAAAGCACAAGATGAATTTTAACATTCATTTTAAGCATAGAAAGTTGGCTTATTTCGTCGTACGTTCATTTGTGTCATTTAACGATGTTTTTAATTTTGTTTAAAATTAATGTTTGCGTAATACAACGTCCATACTATCATTGAAATTGTTAGCGACTCGACCACAACTATTCAACGAAGTTTATAAGTCATAGCTACAGGGAGTGGGATTTGTTATAGTGCAAATGTAGTTGGATACACTTCGCTGTTGCAACATTTGGCTTGTGTGGTCAAAACAAAAGATAATCAGAGTTATTCAGTTATATGCCATAAAATTCATACGTTCGTATTTTTTTTATATGTTATCAGCTCCTTCTAACTATGAATATCTTAACGATGAATCGTCCCTAAAATACTTTTTACGTCTGTTCATTTACCTGGAGCATGAAGGTAATTTTTTGTTGTATAACTAATATTATCTTGTCGTTTTCACAGACGTTGCAGCATAATAAGCAAAGGAATAGTTTCCCGGCGCATTCTCTTAAAAAGTGTAAAATAATTATTATCACTTTTATTTTGTTGTAGTTTTATAACTATAAAAATTGATGCAGTGTTGCCCTTAGGTCATTATTTGTTTGCAAGTATTTGAATAAATCCATCTTTCTTTACTCTTTTTGTTTTCGTATCGGAAAAAAATTTCCAAACTAACATTTGGAAAAAAGTCTTCCTTTACCGTATAGTTTCTCATGTTATGACAAAACGTTTAGTAGCTTCTTGTGTTACAGAATTTTTCTCTTTCGTCCAAAGAGCTCTTCTAGAATTATTGTGTTTATTTTTTTCTTCTTCACACTGATTTTTTTCCCCCGAGATAACTGTTTTTTATGTCTTGTAATGCTATGACTGTTAACGTTATATTCTGTTTGTTTTACTTTATTTAGAAAGAAATGATTCAGAACTTGCTCTAATTTTAATGCTTCGTGTGTTGACGTATTGTCCCGACGGTCCACTTCCGCCTTTAGATTGGAAAAAAATACTAACACCACTGATAAATAAATTTACCGGTAGGCATGGGTATTTAATCAAATGTATGCAGTAACAAAGCCAGCCAGTTTTTTACTCCTTTACAAAACAAATATTTTTGTGCTGAATTGTTCGAAACACAATGAATGAAATACATTTTCAAAAGACATGAATAATTATTTTGGTGAAAAATTTACAGAACAAATATTTTTGTGCTCAATTGCTAGAAACACAATGAACGAAATACATTTCCTAAACACATGATTAATTATTTTGGTGAAAAATTATTTGGTAAAAGATCAGGCTGTCTTCAGCACTGGTGGTACATTAACCTACTTCTTTTCGAAGACGCTGTCAAACATTGACCACAAACAATCTAGTGCTCTATGAAGTGGCATTTTCTTAATCATTTAAAGCTCGTGCTGCATTTACTATTGTTTTCATTTCTTAATAACATATTATTAACTTCTCTAGGTTACGTATGTCTACATTAATCACTTTTAGAAATTCTTCACTGCACTCCAGAAAGTCAACTTTTTTCTATCGCCCTGTAATTCTTTAATTTATCTCAATCACAGGTTCATCCATACACGTTTTGAAACTGGCGTTAGAATCAAAATCAGCTCCAGCGATGACAAGTTTTCTGTCTTCTTGGCTAAATTCTTTTGTTGTTTCAAACTTTACGGTATTGCCTCTTTGAAAAAATCTTTAAATCTGTTTTAAGAATTGATGCAGTTAAAATATTATCCCTAAATGTCAATTTTTCGTTTTCAGGCTGAATGCAAAGTTTTTTTGTTTTCAAACTTACATCAACTGGCTGGCGTTTTGTCAACATACAAATTGAAGGATATTGTGGAAATAGGAATGAAATACTTCCTCCAAGAACAGGTTTTCAGTTGTATATTTTTATTTTACTTAAATGTTGGTGGTTACTAAGAATTTTCCTGGTATTGGATGGAGGCTGTTGGGCTTGTTTCTTTAATGAATTGTTGGGGCTGTTTTTAGTGAGTGGATTTTGATTTTATGCAATGATAAAGCCACAAAAGTCTGCCTATAAATAAATAAATGTAACAGACATTAATTATTTAAAAAAAAACCTGTAATTTATTAATTTTAGTTTTTATAGATAATTTAAATTTTTTTTTGTGTAATAACAAAATACAAAACAAGTTATTTAAGTCATTTAAAGTTTAGAGTTTAACGTGTTACAACATCGAGCTTTTTTTGGATTTATTCTTTCCAACTTAGATTGACTTGAATGTTGCTGAGGCCGTTTTAGTTGGGTATCATGGCATTCTACAAACTATAGTGAAAGAAAGTTCCATTGTTTGTTTGGCTGTCAAAGATGGTGTAAAAAGAATTTATGAATCTTTCCCGGGAGACCTCAAGGTATATGATACAGAATTTTGTTTAAAAAACATATGATACTTCATGTTGTTCAAAACAATCAACTGATAACAATAATCATAACATTTTTAAATACATGTTTGTGTGTAAGTAAATCTTCTAGACTTTCTCTGAAAGAAAAATGTTGTTTTAACTTTTTAATGTAGAATTCAAACTTGAAATGTTGATTTTTCACTTGCTGTATATAAATATGTCGGTAAAAAGATAATACAAATGTTCTGTCTGTGTATTTTATCGGCACTTTGTGCATTGGCATATATTTCCAGGTTTTCTTTTAGTTTTTATCCATTTTATCATTGCACTAAATCTTTGTTGTATGTTTTTCGAATAAAGTTAATTACTTAACTTAGCTTTTCTTAAGAGAATTTGCCTTATTGACTAGCTGTTGTCAACTGATCTATTTTTCGTAATTATTACTTTAGAATAAATTAAGTTTTCCTAATGTCTGTTGTATGTTTTAGGTTTTGATACCCAAATTGGCAGATTGTATCTGGCATTTTAAAAAAGAAGAAATTGGTGATTTGTTGGAGCCCACTGTGGTTAGTAGACGCGGTTTTAAGAAATTGTTTGAATTTCCTTTTTATGTTAACGAAGGTCATACATTTTTCTCCTTTGACTTCTAATTTTCTATCCTCATCGTTAGGGTTCTATGCAAAAAAATGTAGCGTTTCTTAGTGATGTGTAAATATTTAAAATTTTAGGAGACGGATATAAAAAGTGCTTTGATAAGAAGAGAGCTGATCTCGAAGAATGTAGCTTCTACGTCTGAATATGTGAAACCTTTGTTTCATCTTTTTATTGCTACAGGTAAGGCTGTCCACAATATAACGTTTGGTTTCTATGCCAATGACGCTTGGAATACTTTGCTAAATGCAGATTTGCTTTACAATATAACAAGATTAACATCAAACTTAATGAATAATATCGAACTTTATATAAAATAATATAATATTGTACAGCGGCAAACGTTTTTTAAAGGGTCTATTCCTCGCATATGCAACAGCAAATATGAATTTTGCTTTATATCTGATCCAGTAATAACTCTATAGATTTACGTTGAAATTATTTATTCCTTATTAAACGCACTTTGCAAGTTTTTCAAATTGTTACAATCTGTGTGTTTTTACAACTGTTGACATTGTTGTATTTACTCTTTGTAGTTTTGTACTCGTAAAAGCATGTCAATCACTAATTAAATGTAGGCGATCCTCGTGTAATCCTTGCTATTATGTCCTGTCTGTCTCGACGTCAAATGAAAAATGACGTCACTGAGGAATTGGTCTTGTACTGTTTGGCCAAACTGGAGACTACCAGTTCTGACGATCCGGTATGATTTGATGCTTTTTCTGTCATCGTTTTTTTGTTTGCACTTCAGCCACATTTTGTGGTCTTTTATAAAAGAACTGGTTCGTACATGTTTTCATACATACAAAAAATCTCCATACTTGTTTTTGGAATCTGTATAAATGTTCTTTAGCGAACGGATGTTGAGCATTTCATCCGACCAATGGCTGTTGTCCTATATAAAATAATGTCATTTGTTTTGTTAATTGGTTGCCTTCTACAGGGTGTATAAAAAAAATTGAACCAATAGGAAAACGCTTCTACAGTGATCAGCTTGCAAGGTCCGAAAAGACAGTTGGTGGAATAGGTAGTTGTAATATTTTTGCAAATACTAAATGTTTTATGATTGAGAATAGTCTTCCGAGAAGATTTTTTTAATAGCTTTGAAGTCGAATTACTTATTCCACCTAAGTTTTTTGCAGATCTTAAGTCCTCGCTAATCTTTTTGTGGACATTTTCCTTACTGTTCAGTTTTCTTATCAAACCTGTATACTCATTCACTTTTATAGGTAATCATCTGTCTTGTGTATTCTGACTTTTTCAGGAAATTAGCGACTCTATCTTGAGTATTCTGTCTGCGCTTTCCATCGTTTCTACTGAAGATGATGTTTTAAATATTACCCTCTCCTTACATGAAGATGGTCGCCTTTTCTGTCAAAGTTGTGAGAAATGGTTCGCCTTATTGCAAAGCCTGTTCCCTTTCAGTTTTGTGTCTATGTTGTCCAAACCTTTCTGGAAAGGAAAGATAGAAAAGGTACATAAAGACAAAGACTTGTAAAGCTTCAACGGCAGTTTTGGTGATCGCATTCGGTGTCATGCATTCTGCTCTGTCCGACCGATTTAGCTAATAATCAGGGGGGCGCGGAGAGGTTTGAAAAGTGAGGGGACAAAAGAAGGTCGCACAATCGGATTGTTGTTAGGAAGTTGTTTTTAACAGTTTTATCGGGAATCGTTTGATATACAAAATTTGTTTGATTTCGTTTGTAAAGTTTATTATAGTGCGTTCAGTCTGAGATCCTGGCACGGTGCTCAGGCACGGGCACCAGTATGAACACAACATTTTGATGGTGCCCGTGTATAAGTGCCCAGGTCTGTCATCAGGAAAAGAGATAGTACGTAAGTACGGTGCTCGGGCAAGGGCACCAATGTGAACGTCGACACTTTAGTAACGTGTACAGAGAGGCACGTATTGAGCACGTGGTTTTAAAACTTGTTTACAATGAAAAACATGAAATTATAAATAGACAAAGCTAGTGGATACTACGTGTTTTGAAGGACCAGCAGATTTTTGCCCGAACCAGGATATCGTACTCCAGCATTCAGTCTAAACGTGCTATAATTGATCAATCTAACGTCAAGTTAAAAAGGAAAGTGGAACATACATGAGACATAAAATACTTCTAAACATCCATACTTATCAAATGTAAGTATTTGTTAAAGCGGATTTTTATACTTTAACATTTTGCAAAACGAGAGATTAGGGAAAAAATGGGGGCAATTGCCCCCTTGCCCCCACCCCTTCTCCGCGGCCCCTGGTGATTGATTATTTTATCATGATTCATGAAGCATTAGGGAAGAACTTTTTAATATGCTACAAAATAACAGATTTTTCGATGTGGCTTTTAGTCAGCGTCAATTTGTTTTGCTCTTTCTATTGTAGATAACAAAAATATTGTTGACTCGACGTGATGTTTTAAAAGGCAAAGAATCATCTAGATTATTGCATGGTAAAGTTACTTTTATTTTTACATTGTCTGTTAATTTTATCAATTAACTAGTCTGAGTTTGACTTGTTAAATCTATAAGTTTGAACATCACGGTGTTTAAAATTTTCATGTCTAATGATCAAAATTAAGATAGTCGGGCCTCTCTACAGCAATTATTTATAACAAATATTTATGTAAGGAAGCATATATTTTATTTATTTATTTATTTAGCGAATATTTTCACAAGATAGTCACTTCAGATATTTGTAAAATATTAAAAATCTGTCCTCAATGTGAGTCCTGCTGAATAAAAATTTTTTTAACTAAATAATCAAAATATACAAGTTTTAAAAGAAAATTTAAAGAAATTTAGAACTCAAAAAAAGAAAATATAAAATTTAACTAGTTAGAAATTATTTTGTAAAGTCTGTTAAAATGATAAAAATTTTCAGTTTTGCGAATTTGTAAAGAAAGGTCGTTGTGTAGCTCTCCTATAATAAAAGGAGCTTCTACTATATTCCAGTCGAATTTTTGGAAGTTGCAGTTGATATCCATTGTTTCTGCTTTCCACATTGTGATCACGTTTTACGAAATAGGTTGCAAAATTCAAACATACATTTCCATCCATATTTCTTCGTACAAATCTGCACGCCTTTGCTTCATTGACAGACATAGGTTTCTTTATATTTACATCATCTTGAGTAGTATTAAATGCAATGATATTCATAGCACGATCATGAAAAGATGAAAGTTTCTCCTTTCGAGACATATTGATATTCAAATACAAAATGCCACAGTATGTTAAAAATGGGTTTATCATCCCTTTGTAAATCGCTTTTGTTACCGACAGGTTGAGAAAAGGTCTAATTCTTTATAATAATTTCAATCTTCCGCAGGCTTTTTTGTATATTTTATCAAAATATGATAATATGATAAGGAAACCAAAAGTTGAAATAATTAACTGCACTATCCTATTATCACGTGGTCACGGCGATTAATTTGTAACTGTTGGCATTGCCGTATGACTTACCCAACTATTCAACAAAGCAGTGAAAAATACGTATAAGTGTTCTTTTATTTCTATCAGTTGTGCATTTTATATTGTGAATTGTTAGTTTAAAGATTTATGTCTTCGTCAGCTCGTCTTTCTGTAATATAAAATGAATATGAATTTTTTATTTTAGATTGCCTGCTTCGATTTCATATCTTCGAGGTTTGTGAAAAGCAGTCAATTTGGAATGACATTGTGAGTTAAATAAGGTGCTACGTTTCATGTTTCGTTTTCTCAATACTCCCTAAAATGACGTAGGCTGAAAAGTTAGTCACGTGATGATATGTGAGTATGCGAGAAACGCTTTGGTTAAAAAAGCTACAGAGATGAAAGACCCAATTTGTAATAAACAAAATCGTTTGTTGATCAAGCAAATGTAAAAAATTGTCTCATGCTTACTTATGTTACTCAAATCATCAATAATACTCTATACAAATGACAAACTGTAGCGGTATTCTTGAAATTGTCCGGACAAAAACTTAACTGAAGTATGCATGTTCTTCAGAGAAAGGAGCTTGTTTCCATGATATCTAATTCTTTTTCACGCTGTTCATTCGATGACAGCAGCATTAATTTGAACAAAGGTCAATGACTGCTCGAATGTCAAATAACGTTATGATGTTCAATGTTTAATCAAAAAAACGTTTTTCATTCTCTTTGAAAACGGTGCGTGACAGATTTGTAGAATTGTGAGATCATGGCGTTGAACCAACTATATGTGCAGATTTGAATGTCCATTTACACTTTATTACGTGAAGTGATAGTACATAGCGAGCATTATGCTGTCGCGCTTTTTAGAAGTGCACTACTTCGGTTGGTTTTTAGGGGGGTGTGGACGGTCTTTTCGGCTCTGGTAACAAGATTTGCACCGTCAATCATTAATCATAATGTGATGAAGTCATCTTAAAAAATAAACATGCAATTTTAAAAGAAATATTTTTATTTTAACTGAAGTATGCATGTTCTTCAGAGAAAGGAGCTTGTTTCCATGATATCTAATTCTTTTTCACGCTGTTCATTCGATGACAGCTGCATAAATTTGAACAAAGGTCAATGACTGATCGAATATCAAATAACGTTATGATATTCAATGTTTAATTAAAAAAGCGTTTTCCATTCTCTTTGGCAGTATTACACGTTAGTTAAAATCCTTAAGCTCGATTATTGTGAAAGAATTTATGTAAATGCATGTACGTAAATGTCATGCGCAGTGGATTTCAAGACAATCGCTACAAAACCGACGTTTCTAAAGGCAAGTATATTGATTGAAGGCGACAACAGCCATGTAATATCAAATTGTCTCGACTCTTGCAGACCTCAGCAGTGCTTTTTTCAGTAAAAAATCTTGAAAGGTGTTTTTATTTTTTCACTTTTAAGTGTGTACAATTGATACATCTCAATTTTCAAGAATTAAATGGATAAATGTCAAATACAAATCAACATTTGTATTTAAGTAACTAAATGAATTCATAAGTACTACACATGGTGTTAGCTTCTCCTTGATTTAGTAAGATATATATAATTGTTCATTGATATGAGAAACTCGTCTACAATGCACGTTATTTTATTTATTGGTCGTCAATGAACAGTGGCGGCGGAAGGCGTTTTGCATTGGGGGAGGGGGAAGGGGAGGGGTGAATAACAAAAAATGCCCCGGTAGGGGGGAGGGTATTTTCACCTTTGTAGTTGTAATTGTCGAAGTCACAAATAATATCATTTTTAGCTTTTCTTGCTTCCGTCTCAGACTAGTGAAAAAGTTTTTATTTTAGACTGCGCCATTTCGCCTTTGCATTTACGCCATGTTCTAATAACAAATTCGGTGCGATTTTCAAGTAAATGAAAGTCTATAGGAGAAACAAGCTTTCAAAAGGGCTGTCAGTATTTAAGAGTCCGTCTATGCCGATGATTTTCCTTTGTCAAACATTAACATATATTTCGGGACAAATTTTGAAGAAAGTAGCTCTTTCAGTGGGGTGTTTTGGGGAGGCTGCAGCCACCTTATCCCCTGTCCGCCGCCCCTGTCAATGAATTCAGCTGAAATACAACATAAAATTTATTTGTTCAGTGCCAATATTTTATAACCATGCCATATATAACTGCTAAAATTTCTCAAAATAAAAAAAATATTTTCCTGCAGAAAAGTAATGAAGAAATAGAAATGATAGAAATGATGTGATGACCGTTTTCATACTGTAGACGTGACCTAAGCTGAAAGAGCACGCGAAGACGCTTGTTCTTACTGTGCAATTTTTTTCCCTACAATACAAACGCATTATGAATCATGAGTCAGAATCGATTAATGTATTCAAATCTCACGTACTACAGTACTATAGGTACTAGACTGACAAACATCGTAGCTAAGATTTCATTTTCAGTTCACCACATAGACATTTGTTTCATCCGACACTATTCAACTTGTACTGAACTATGAAGTAGAGGACAAAGAATTCTTTTCATACATGAAATTACTTTGAGTAATTAATTTGAAATTTCGCAATCGTATTTGTTAGACAGTGAAATAAGCAAGAAGAATAGTTTACAAACTTATACTTTACGGTTTTACACAAATCGATGTAAAATTATTTATTTATGTTGAGTGTATGTTCATTGTCATAAAAACTTTTAACTCTGTTTGCGCAAGTTGAGTATGCAGACCCCAACAGACAGGCCTGAAATTTCAGCCCGGTTTCAGCTGGCTGTGCTGAAATTTCAGCCCATGCCGAGATCACTCCAAGTAAATGATGTATTCAGCCCCAAAGAATGGCTTTATCTTTGCGAATGACAGTAATTTTAATTACGCTAGACGGTTCTTTAAATTATTACTAGCTTCGTCTAAAAGATATATAACTAATAAGTTATTTTCCTTTACAATTGCTTACAGCTATAAATAAAAAACATTCACTATTTTTAATAATATGTCTGGAGACGTGACTGAAATTATCAAAAGCACAATGGATGCTTTTGTTTCTTGTGCGTGACAGCAGAACAACCTCGCAATATTTTGAATATTAAGCAAACACACTATTGTTGATCATCATTGTTGAGAAGATTGTTGTGCATTCTGATCAGTGTCGAAATTGCGATTGGAACTTGGAAGTTTGTCCGTCAATATTCTCCCAAAAAGTATGAACGTATAGAATTTGGCTTCATAGAAATTTTCGACAACTTTTTGCTATCTATCTCATAACGGTATGCTTGATATTCAAATATTTGCTGCATGATTGATAATTGTGATCGGATTGATGAAAATTATTGCGTCAATTGTCACTGTAGAAGTATGAAATACTGACTGTATCGTTACTATCGTATGCCTTGATAACAAACAAACATGGAACATTGTAACAACGCTCAAGTTTCTTGAACTTTAGATGAAGCACAAAAAAATCGGAAACTTTTTGTAAACTAAATGACAGTAGCTGATACTAAATTTTGTTATTTCTTATAATTGACAAGTTGTCACTTTTTACTTTTGCAAACGTTTGGACCAAATGTTAGCAAAAACCTTATATACTTAAGCCAAGCTAAAGGCAAAGTAAAACGAAGTAAATTTAGTAAATATATGTCGCAGCCCCCCGCAAGTTTAATTTCGTTGTGAAATCCCCACTTTGACATTTTATGATTTACGCAAGTGCAATAATTAGTTGACATACAACTACTCTGTGACAAAATCAGAACAAAAGACTATTAATGTTCACGGTGGCGATGAACCAAACAGCAACAAAACTGGAAAGAATGGCTAACTTTGTGGAAATTACGTGGCTGTGAAAATTATTTATTTATGTTGAGTGTATGTTTATTGTCATAAAAACTTTTAACTCCGTTTGCCCAAGTTGAGTATAGAGCCCTCAACTTTATTAAGATAAAAATTCTTCTGCATTTGACATTGTTGACATATTATTGTATTGATTTCAAAATATTGAAAGACAATATAATACCTTTCCTTTCCTTTTATAGAACAGAGTGTTTGTCATTCATTCACGTATAGCAATTAGCACTATATTAGAAGGTCGAAAAATAAGAGCAAATTTGAAACGATATAAGTTCAGACAAAGTGAAATTAAATTATCAATGTCATTTTCATTTAGCTGTGCTTCTTAATACGTAAACGATATTTTATTGACGTTTGATCGACAGCCCGAGAAATTGGGTTTGCTCCTTGTTGCTATTAAGGTTGCATTCATGTTGTTAGATACGTTTACATGTAATTTGTCTTTTATCTTTGCGAGTGACGGTAGTTTCAGAGACGTAACTCGAACGTTAATACTCATATATGCCGTTGTTCCCTACTGATTTAGGAATCGTTAAAACTCTGGGTGGTTTTAATGATTCCTAAATAGTTTAGGAATAAATATATACCTAGCTAGTTAATTTCTAATAAGATTCCTTGCAGCTTCAAGTAAGAACATTCATTATTGTCATTAAAAACGTATGTTATGACCTTGCATGACAGGTGATTGTAATTACGTGGCTGATTTCGTGGGATGATTTCAGCCCGTGCTAAGTTTCACTTTACATCAATAACATGAGAAAAATTCCAGCCCGGGTTGTAACTCAGACAGGCCTGAAATTTCAGCCCGGTTTCAGCTGGCTGTGCTGAAATTTCAGCCCATGCCGAGATCACTCCACGTAAATGATGTATTCAGCCCCTAAGAATGGCTTTATCTTTGAGAATGACAGTAATTTTAATTACGCTAGACGGTTCTTGAAGTTATTAATAGCTTCGTCTAAAAGATATATAACTAACTAGTAAATTTCCTTTACAATTGCTTTCAGCTATAAGTAAATAACATTCACTATTTTTAATAATATGTCTGGAGACGTGACTGAAATTATCAAAAGCACAATGGATGCTTTTTTTCTTGTGCGCGACAGCAGAACAACCTCGCAGTATGGCGAATATTAAGCAAGCACAATATTGTTGATCATCATTGTTGAGAAGATTGTTGTGCATTCTGATCGGTTTCGAAATTGCGATTGGAACTTGGAAGTTTGTCCGTCAAAATTCTCACAAAAAGTATTAACGTATAGAATTTCGCTTCATAGAAATTTTCGACAACTTTTTGCTATCTATCTCATAACGGTATGCTTGATATTCAAATATTTGCTGCATGATTGATAATTGTGATCGGATTGATGAAAATTATTGCGTCAATTGTCACTGTAGATACATGAAATACTGACTGTATCGTTACTATCGTATGCCTTGATAACAAACAAACATGGAACATTGTAACAACGCTCAAGTTTCTTGAACTTTAGATGAAGCACAAAAAAATCGGAAACTTCATGTAAACTAAATGACAGTAGCTGATACTAAATTTTGTTATTTCTTATAATTGATAAGTTGTCACTTTTTACTTTTGCAAATGTTTGGGCGAAATGTTAGCAAAAACTTTATATATTTTAGCCAAACTTAAGGCAAAGGAAAACGAAGTAAATTTAGTAAATATATGTCGCAGCCCCCCGCAGGTTTAATTTCGTTGTGAAATCCCTACTTTGACATTTTATGATTTACGCAAGTGCCATAATTAGTTGACGTACAACTACTCAGAAAGTCAGCTAACGTACAACTACTCAGTCAACTACTTGAGAGAAAATCAGAAGAAAAGACTATTAATGTTCACGGTGGCTATGAACCAAACAACAACAAAAATGGAAAGAATGGCTAACTTTGTTGACAGATCAATTTAACTTGATCTTAACTGGACTTAAATTAAACTTGAGAGTATGCATAAATTTTTCATTCTTAGTAAATCCCACAAACTTTAGCATACATATGTAGACGATTTTAAAGCTCAACGATAAAGTGTGTTTTCCTAATAACGAGAATGATCAAGATTATATGTGTTTTATGTGGATAAAACACAACCGTCCAAAATACAGGAACATCATATCTGGCATCTATTCACATTGGCTATCGTCCTCACGTCAAAGAATGCTCCTTTGCCAAACAAGGCTCCTTTGTCATGAATACTTGAGAGTCACTTACGTGAATCAATCACTTTGATGAATAATAAAACAATATCCAATGTGCCATAAAACTTCATTTTCTTTAAACAATTTATCTATAGAGTGTTGGTACTTACGCCAGTCACTAGGGGGCTCTGATTTGCACTCAATTTAGAATTGCTGCATTCACTACCTCCAAGTGAACCTAGTTATAGATTATATAATTCGATTTCTTCGTTTTTTCTTGTATGAAATTTTTGTGAATCTTTCATAGGGAAAGCTCATAAAACGCTGAAGGAATCATGGATCAAATGGAGGTGATGGTCTTTAGTTGTATTTTCGCGTAAATCTTCTAAAATAACTAAGCATGCTGCTACGTAAACAATTAATATGCCCACAACAAAAGTTTTAAAAAGAATATTGGCCAATGGGGCAGCTGAGTCGTTTGGGATAGCAGTTATAAAAATTGAAATTTAGCGAAACCAATAAAAAATTCTCAAGTTATAATAACTTTTGCTGAATCTTTTTACAACTACTACTCACTAAGTATAATGCCTTCTTAGAGCCAAAACAGCAAAGTTCCATCATTTATTTTCTAGTTCGAACAGGAAGAAGTCAAGGTGTTGACGGTGACCGTTATCAAAGCAAGTGGAGTACAAACTGGTTTGCGACTTGGGAAAGGTGAAACAATAACAAAATCTAAACTTATCTATACTGGCATTTTATTGATTTTTGGTGAACTAAGAAAGCTGACAAATGTCAAACCTATCGCATTTTGTGAAAGAAAGTCTTTCATGCAGTAGTTAAAATCCTTTAGCAGTATTTGTCATTTGTCGTTGGCACCATACCTAATGCCATGTTATATCATTAGCAGAGTTAAAGCTTTTCTGCAATACGCCGTTTTCGACCCACGATGGCAGGCAATGGCTTACATACAGCTAGTGATTACCTATTGCTAGCATAATTTAAGCATATGCATACGACGAATGTTTAATGTAAAAATTAAAAAAATTTATTTACAGGTGAAAAGTTGAAATTATATGTGAAGCTAAGAGTTCGCTCGAGTCCTAATGGAAAACAACACACAACTATGAAGAAATACGAGGTTGATCCTGTATGGAATGAAACTTTTACATTTCATTTGAATCCAGACAGAGAAAATACCTTGGGTAAAGGAAAACTGTTTTTGTATCATCGTTTCTCGTTTCGCAGAGTATAAAAACTTCATGATATTATAGAATTTTAGTGAGAAATAGCGTCGGAATGGTTTTTCTTTTTAAATGTTTATTGTTTACTATAAACCTATACGTATCATGAAAGTTTTATATCCAGTGCATGTTTACTAATATGTACGTCACTTCCGGCGCAGAGTTAACCACTTCTATCCCCAAAAGCAATTGGACTAAAACTTTCGTCATATAAAATGTATTTTAAATGTTCATAAAATCCATTTAATGATTGCCTATATCAAGGTCAGCAAATAACATGATTAAATCCATTTAATCAGTTATTTGCTGACCTTGATATAGGCATTTTAAGTACGTCATGTATGATTCGCGAACTGCGTCAGACATAAATGGCATTTTTCATTAATAGCTAAAAAATTTTCAGCCATAGATTTCATATTTTGTTTTTTAGTAAGATTTGCGCATTAAGGCTGCTTGCTATTTTAGATGTGTGAGTGAAATTGCTTGATTATTACTACTTATTACTAGAGATTTTTTGTCATGGAGGTTTTACAATGCATGTAGCTATGTCATGTTTTAGCAGTTGGGCTGCGCAAGTAGTTTAGAAGATTTTAAACATGTTGGCAATATATTTTATACCTGTTAAAATTTGATCTTTGTGCATTTCTGGAGCTCAAAGTCGGTGATCATTTGCTTCACCATGAAATTAAAAAATTAGGACGAGAGCCAAAAAGTATTTTACTCATAATCTCCTCAAAAGCAAAGCTATTTTGTCGCATTACACACAGGTGTTTCATTTTGTGTCGTGTATGCTCAAAAACATCCAATTTTAATCAAACAACAGACAAATTCCCGTTTTGTGACCTCAAAAATAACATTAGTTACCATCTTTGTTATAATGGCGGTCATGCTTTAAAGTGAAAGGTCTCCCTTAGCTTTTGCAATGAATTTTTCTTATTTTAATTTTAATTCTTTATCATGTTATGATTTGTAAGTCAAGTTAAGTTAAATTTATGTTAATCATATACATACAAGACTTGCATTATCAGTAAGCTTTCAAAAATAAAAAATATTAAACTCTCCACACAAAAGCGGATCCTAAGAGCCGTGCATGTTAAATTAATTTGGTTTTGTAATTGTTTTGAAGTACATTTAACAGCATTTCAATTACCTGTTTGGAAGAGCAGCTTTTTCCAGAACTGACTGCCTGAATTATTTATCAAAAAAAAATTCTTAACGTTCATGCAATTTTTTGTTATTAGAAGTTACAATGAAGGAGGACAATCAACTTACACAAAATACCAATATTGGGAAAGAAGAGATTCCGCTGGATACTTTACTCTTAAATGAAAGTACGAACAAAAAACTCACACTGAACAAGGTAACACGACTGTAGAATCGTGTTCTTTTTATTGAAATAATTGATATGCTGAATAGTCTTCGACATTTCATTTTTTGATTTTGCATTTCTTAGCTGAACTTATGGTATAACGCCAAAATCTTTCCGCAAATCAGTGCATCTTAGAACTAAATGATTTCCTAAAGTAAAGAGTTTTCCAATCGAGCATTGACATTTAATGTGAAAATTATTTCACACATATAAAACAAAGTGATCTTTTCTTTCCACAAATGGAGTTTGGGTGTATTGTTAAGTAGGATTTTTCAAATTTCTTTTTTCTTAGAAAACTGTCTTAGAAATATCCGTGCTTATTTCGACAAGGTTAGTAGCGAATCGCCAAACGAAGGCATTATCATAGCTGAATGCTGAAATCTCCCAACCTAACTTCGTGTTTTTTCATAGATTTACATAATATCCTATATTGAGACATTTGCATAGTCTCAAATCACTTTAAGTTAATTTCTGTGAAACACACTAACCATAACACATAAAGAAAATATGTTAGAAAAAGTTAGAGCAACGCTAACCTCACTGCATTAAGTATGCTTCGATTTTCGCAAGCTATGCTGTATATTTTTCAGTAACGCCATGGATTTGCGCATCAGTCGAGATATTTGTACTGAGGAGAAGCAGTTTCAAAATAAAAGAGTTAAAATTGTGAAGAAAAATATGTCGAAGCTTAACCTAGGAAAAAAGACACCTAAAAAAAGTAGACAGGTAATACGTCAGCTCCTAGATGCCATGCACTGAGATTTTCAAAGAGGTATCATAATAGTTTTTGATGCTGTTATTATGGAGGAAAAACTCTCATTTCAAACAAAATTCTGGACCCCTAAGATGTATATAAATCACTTTTATTTACTGAATGTATAATCCATTACTTTGAAAAAGGCTAGCTCAGTAATGCTCACTTCATTTGTAAAATGATAAGAAACTCTACTGTTGTAACATGTAAATTGACTAATATCTTCGGAAAGTACTAATTGCATTGCCTTACAATTACGCTTACAGGTGCCAGTTATTGCTATTATGGGATCTGGAGGTGGATACAGGGCCGCTTGTGGATTTTCAGGGGCAATGGTTGCACTTGAAGAGTCCGGAATTTTGGACTGTTCTACGTATATTGCTGGATTGTCAGGATCTTCGTGGTAAGACCAGCTTTCTCAAAGCCAACATCTCAAACTGAAGAAG